TCCCTTGGCTTGCTCAGGATCCCCGTGGCTGCAGAAAGCCCGAGCAAGCCAGCTGCTGGAGGGATGTGCATTCGGTTCATCTGAACCAAATGCACCCCCGAAAATGGCCCATTCGGGGCCCCTTTCAGGCTGCTGCGGGCTGAATCAGATTATCTGATCTGAATCGGCTTCCCGCAGTTCGGCCCCATTCTATCCTATGGGCCATTGAAGTCAATGGCGAAAACATAGGGTATATTCTGGGGGCTGGAGGAGAGAGGAGTTTGAGGGAGAGGCTCCAAAATCGCAGGGTAGCTGCTGGAGCGTCTCCCCAAGATACCCTCCATGTTTCAGGAACATTGAACCAGGGGGTCTAATTCTACGGGCCCCCAAACAGGTTGCCCCCATCCCCTCCATTGTTCTCTATGGTGGGGAAAAATAGGCTCACCGTCCAAACAGGGTCAGAGTGACATATTCAGACGAGCCTTCAGAACAAAGTGGTCCAACCATGGTACTGCCGAGGCAGTAATCCGGTCCACTGTAACTCCCGCCACGAAGACCAAATCGAGCATGTGCCCAGTCTGATGAGTGGGAGTCGTTACAAATTGGGAGAACCCTAGTGCCGCCATGGATGACACCAGGTCCGCTGCCTGAGTGGAGGTCGCATCATCTGCATGGACATTGTAGTCACTCAGGACTATCAGTCTAGGGTGTTCCAATGCCCAACCCGATGCGGCCTCCACCAGGAACAGCAGGCTACTGGCCAGTGTGCTGGGTGGACGGTACACTAGGCAGATTGCCACACTACCGGCTTCCCAAACAAGGCCAACACACTCCATGCCTGTGATCTCTCGGGAGTACCCCATTAACCATGGTGAACAATCACCGGATGTGGTTAAGAGAAACTGTTCTGCATTACTTTATTTTTATGCTACAGTTCATTAATTAAAATATACATTTAATTAATTAGGATACATTATCAATTGATTTCATAGTTGCTTACCTGTTCACTTAATTAGCACCAATATTAGTGTATTGTTTCTTTTCTCTTTTTAACAGTTTTTCTCATACTTAACTGAATAATTTTTAAAGAGAAAATCTTAATCACATTAGCACTTTTGCTGATTGTATTACAACTTGATTGCTGATATTAAATTTCAATTGATTGGGTGTAAGAGATTGTATTTTATCAAAAATTTTAAATCAACTACAGTTCAATTAATTTAAGATATCTTGTAATTATAGTTCTCAATAACATAATAATTTATGTAGGGATTAATAGATTAATCAATTTGTTACTGCTTTATTCTAATTTTTTAGAGGTTGATATTTGATAAGGCTATTTATAAATTACTTATAGTATTGTGTTATTGTTAATCTGTTTACATTTTGCAGATCACATTAATTATATTTCAGCAGTTGATAGTATACTTCACCCATCCATTATACTGTGGGAAAAAGTTCTGCTTTATATACACACACACACACACACACTGTTGTATCACTCAAAACTTTACAGTTCTTGTATTATGTTGTTCTACTGTACAGGTATGTGCAAGACTAGTCCAGTGAGGGTCTTAAAAACGAAATTACAAAACCTACAACACACTCAAACTAATTTAAAAACAAACACACACACACAATCAATAATATACATTACACATAGAATACTGCAACAGGAAAAGGGGAAAGGAAGTAAAAAGCTAGAATAAAACTCAAGCAACAAAAGAGAAGGGGCAAGTCATCCTATTATTCTCTGAACTCCCTCTACAACCAGAGTAAGCAGAACAACTGTCTTAAAACCCACAATAATGTCTGCCACAAGAAATGTTTTATTGTTAAACGTTCGGGGTCTCAACATGATCAAGTGAAAAAGAATTCTCACCAATCTAGCCAAACTGAGATCTTACATCATTCTACTTCAAGAAACTCATCTTCGCTCCTTAAGATCTTTCTTAATATCTGGCATGATGATACCGCACATTCAATGTGACTTAATATCAAGCTTTATAGTTGCTGCAAGGACATCTATTGCCTTGAAATGGAAGTCACATCTAGCTCCCGTGGTCGACCAATGGTACTCCAAAGTTTGGGACCTCTTCATAATGTTGCAAATTAGGGACCATTTAAGACAGGCAGATTCCTACTCCACACGCTCCAGCTCCTCTAAAAAATGGTTCCCCTTCCCTCCTCACAACTGAATTTATCTTTTATTACTTTTTCTTTGAGTAGTCTAATATACTTTACATAGTCTCCTAACTCTTACTATCCCCATGTGGTCTAGTCATGTTACACACCTTATCTTTACTATAATTATATGAGACATTAACTCTTTCTTTTTTGCTGTATACATATATGCCTACCAGCTGGTACATGCAATGTTTAGTGCAAGAACTTTGTACTCCATATCTACGACTTATAGTTTTACTATCTAGTTTAGACTGTTTTATATGTATCTCTTACACTTGGTATTCTGTCATATTTGATATTGCTATCACAATTATATTTGTAATGCCTTATATTCTTGTTGACTTTGAGATTAATTTTAAAAAGTTAATAAAAAAGTGTTGGATTAGGATCTGGCAGACTCAGGTTTGAAATCACTCTCTGCCATCAAGGTTTGCTGGGTGACCTTGAGACAGTTGCACAGTCTCAAGCTAACCTACTTCACAGGGTTGTTGTGAGGATAAAATGAAAACTAAGAATTATGTAAGCCAGTTTTGGCCCTACTGGGGAGAAAAGTGGGATATAAATGAAGCAGATAAATAAATATATATAGAGAAATTCTCAACAGTCCACTTCTTAACAATTATATATTTATTCTGAAACACGGAGCAAAAACACAGATCCACCATACTTTTTCTGGAAGAACAGAAGAGCTACATAAAATCAGTTCGGCTCCCAGCATAATGGAAAATGAATCAGTAACAAAAGTGTCTTTTTAAAAAAGGCAAACAGTTCCGGAATTTGAGAGTGACACAGCAGGCTTCTCTTGGACTCTTTCCAATGCACAGCTAAAACCGAGGAGCTCCATAGTCATCTGGCATCCTCTCAATGTTATACCTAGAATAAGAATAAAAGTATTATTAAGCAGTCCATCACAATTCCTCTGTGGAAGGCAGGGAACACACAGTGAGGGGCCTCCTGATCTTTGTTGCCTCAATGCTGTCTTTTGATCTGCACAAGATGAAGAACACACACACACAAAGTTCTAGTGAGCCAAAAGGTATTTAGGCACACTTATAGAAGACAGGCCCTCATCTGGATAGCTCATGCTAGGCTGATTTTGTCAGATCCCAGAAGCTAAGCAGGATCAGCCCTGGCTAGTATTTGGATGGGAGGCCTGCAAGGATTACTAGACTCATGATGCAGAGGGCAGGCAAACCACCTCTGAATGTCTCTGGCCTTAAAAACCCTAATGGGTCATGTCAGCTGTGACTTGATGACACTTTCTACCACCAATAGGAGAGAGTAAGCAGTAAATAGGGGAAGGGACGTATGAGAACGTGCAGGGTGTATCTCATTTTCCTGTCCCCTACGGTGTCCTCTTTTCCTTCCTTGAAAGCCCTCCATTTCCTGCTTCCTTCTCGCCCACCAGCCAGCCCTTATTTGCCCCAATCTTCAGCCTTCCATCCTTTCCTCCCCCAGCAGCCTCTACTTGGGAAATCTATAACCCAGTTGTGCAATGCTGGCCAGCAGGCCTGGTCTAGCTGCATAATGGGGAACCTGCAATGATTTGCGGGGTGCACCACATTTTCTCCTCTGTCCCTCTCACCATTCTATTACTTCTTTCTCTCCTATCGGCAGCCCTCATATCTGAACTTTCCCTGCTTCCTTCTCTCCTTCCCACCCACCAACCTACCTTTGATCTACTTCCCATCTTCATCTATATTTATCTACTTACTGTAAAATCCACCTTTTTCGACAATGGTGAACCAAAGCAGCTTACACCATTCTCCACTCCTCCATCTTATCCTCACAATAACCCTGTGAGGTAAGTTAGGCTGAAAATGTGTAACTGGCCCATGGTCACCCAATAAGCTTCCACAGCAGTGTGTTTATTCGAACCTGGATCTTCCAGATCCTAGTCTAAAACTCTAATACACACACTGGCTTTTGTACAGTGGCTGCTGTTGAACAGTAGCATGCAGCTAGTCCTGGGTGAATCATGCAAGTCACATGCTAGCAAGTCATCTGAGTGGTACTGGTGGGCCTGGCTGGTGATTCCTCCCTCAAAAGCCAAAAATAGCCCTGTAAAATCCCTGTCCCCTCACCTTGACTTTTACTGACAGAAACCCAAGCTTGAAAGACTAGGGGTAGGGACTTTCTTAAAGCTACAGGTGCTGCTTTTATTATTATTTTTTAATCCCCACAACTTTTGTGTTTGTTTAGATTTCAGATTTTTCTGAAAACCTGGGACTTTTCCAGATATATAGAAATATTTCTCCAGTATGTTCATGGCCCCAGTCTCCAGAGTCAGCATCCACAGATTTGCCCACATTGAGAATTAGATATATTGATGGATATAATATATATTGTTGCAAGATACACAAGTTATATATTATTTATACAGTGCTATTAAATGTGTATACTGCACAGCAGTAACAAATAGTCAAGTCCCTCTCCCCAAGTAGGAGGAAAGACAGCATCATATAGCCCAATCTTTTCATATCTCAGAAACTAAGCAAAGTCAGTAATTGGATGGGAGACCACCAAGGAAGACTCTGCAGGGGATGGCAATGACAAACCACCTCTGCTTCTCACTTGCCTTGAAGGCTCCTTGCTGTCTTTGCAAAGTGACACTACTTACATATATATGTATCCCCAAGGAATTAACAAACATCAAAATTCATCAGTGAGTGAGGACAGAAAACATTACTGTAATTACAATTAAATACCCTATGGGCACTCCTCTTAACTTACAGTTATTAGTTAACCCACAAACACAGATTTGTTTATTATCTACCATAAGGCTTCGGGTAAATCTCATTCAGTCAAAGAAAAGCAAACAGTCATGTACAAAATTGTTCAGTCAAACATAGATAACTGTACACAAACCCAGATCAGCCAGTGTTCATGGCTCATGCCAGCATTAAGTTTCAAAATGCCATGGTTGCAAATATTTATTTTATTATTAAACCCTTTTCTTTACACATAGGCCCTGTGCATAAATATATGTGCTGACAAAGATAAAAACAGTACTCTAACAACAAACAATGCAGGCCATCACAAAACAAAATGGCAATTTTGCTTTGATATTAGATAACCATTTGAGAGTTCACCTACCTGTGATTGGATATATACATGATAGGGACTCCAGGGATTTTCCGTATTCTCCGCTTGAGGTCTCTGTCTACAGTAGCCACTATGTAACACTTGTGCTGCAAAGGGGGGGGGGGGAGGCCATTAATTCAACCTTGGTAATGTTTTGATAAAAGAGTAAATCCAATCTTTCTATTCCTTTGACCACACAGTGCTAGACAATATACATTTCCAGAAATAACAGGCCTCTTTGCAAGCATCTTATTAATGCTTACTGCCTCAGAATCTGAAATATTCAAGGTTGTTTTAGCAGAGGAAAATGCATCTCCCCTTCCACAATCAATTCTTTGCAATAGTGATGGCTGCTTACAAAGAGATTAATACAACCAAGAAAGGCAGAGCCTGAACTGAATCTGATTATTTGAAAGTCACTAGTACTGACAGAAATTAAGTAGCTCTAAATATGGCATAGAAATTCCTACCTGAGTCACCCTTTGCACCAAACAGTCATCTGCATAAGTTCCTTTGTGAGTGCATGGCAGGCGTTCAAATCGTGGGTCTTTGGCTATCCTGCAGAATCGTAAAATCAAAAATTAGGAAAAAGATAAGTCAACTGATACACAGAAGACAGTAAATTGCTAACAGACACAAACATCTCTGTCTGTTTTTCACTCTGGCAATCGCCAGATTTGCAAACCACCGGGGGCCCTGTAGTTTGATCCCAATTCTTTCTCCTCCAGTATAAGAGATTGGAGTGGTTAACACATATTTCAGGCAATTGTGATGCAGAACAAAGTTCATTTGCTGTGCTCCCACCTTAAGGCCACACGATATTTCTGTCCCAACTTCTCAATTTCAGCCATGACACAATCTGTGATACAGGGAATACCTGCAGGAACAGAATATATAAAATAATATCACTAACATGCAGCATGCAACCATCCCATACAAATGACATTACTTAAAATATTAGGTTTTAAATCCTACAAGTGGAGAGCAGGGCATGCAACAAACCTCAGGCAGGGCAACGTCTTCCTATCTTTTCTGTGGAGGGCCCTGCTGTAAAGCTTTTGTTATCCACAAACGGGCCAGCCAGTTTACTATTAGATAAGTTGATGAACAGTCACTCATCCCGTCACTCCATCAGCCCCACTGAGCTAGACTGCCTCAGTGAAAGTGTAACCCATGTCATGTTAACATTTTATTTCTGCTAAAAAGTTTAGAATTTAGGGCCTAGGGAGCAAAAGGTCACAGAGCATGAGCTGTTGGAAAAGTTGCTCACATATTACCAACTGCAAAAGCCCCACCCCCAAAGTCAGTCTGGCTTGCAGCAGGAGAGAGAAGACCCAGAGTTTGACTGAGGAAAACTGATTTCTTTGCAGGTATGTGATGGGCACAACCAGGGAGTGATTGCATCCTAGAATTTCCCGTTTAGGAGTTATAAAAAAAGGGTTTGTCAAACTATTTGTTTAATTATGGTTAAGGCTATGGTTTAAAAACTCTTCCCCCCACCCCCACAAGTCAGTCTGGCCTGCAGCAGGAGAGAGAAGACCTAGAGCTTGACTGAGGAAAACTGCTAATTTCTTTGCAAGCCAGGGAAAGCATCCAGAGCACCAGCAGGAGCAACAAGTATCATTGAAAAACATATGGGGAAGAAGCAGCCCTGCATGTCTTTAAGTTAACATTTTGGACTTTCTGTTTTCCCTGTTATGATGACCTAGCCCTGTTCCTTCACTCAGATGCCGGATTTTCCCTCAATTTTTTTCTTCCTTTCTGACTGAGCAGCCCCTTTATCTAGACTCTTCTTATCTGAAGATATATGGCTGTCTCACCCTTTCACTTTATTGTATTTTGATGCTGGCTCGGGCTGCAGTCACCCACACACACAAAATAATCCACTTTCAAACTGGATTTTTACTGTGTGAACTAGCAAATGTCAGCTAACACTGCCATTGCTTGGAATGTGTAGGCAGATGGGTGTACTTGCTCGCCTCCCTCTCTCCCTCCCTCTACTGCGCTTATCTCACAGGTGTCCTTGAAGCTCTGGGCGCTTCTTCCCTGCTCTTCCCACTGGGAATCTAATGGCTGGGCTTTAGCCCGCGCTTGGTAAGGTAAAGGTTCCCTTGCTCGAAAGCCAGTCGAGTCCGACTCTAGGGTTGCGGTGCTCATCTCTGTTTCAAAGCCGAAGAGACAGCGCTGTCCGAAGACATTTCCGTGGTCATGTGGCCGGCATGACTAAACACAAAGGCGCACGGAACGCTGTTACCTTCCCACCGAAGTGGTACCTATTTATCTACTTGCAATTTCTTGCTTTCGAACTGCTAGGTTGGCAGGAGCTGGAACTAGAGGCGGGGGCCCACTCCGTCATGCGGCACTTCTTGGCTGTGTAGTATCAGGGGGTCTCCTTTGAAGGCGGTATATCCCAGGGGCCCCTCACTTCTCCCGCCATTCCTGACACAAGAGGTCATGGTGTCTCAAGTACTTTCCCTCTCAACAAACTGAATCTACTGAAGACCTGGTGTTGAGTGTGATTGACTGAGAACCCTGATAGCAAAATCCAGTTGGAAAGTGCATTAAAAGTGGATTATTTAGTGTGTGTGATAGCAGCCTCAACCCAAGAACTTTAGGGAAGAGACAAGATCACTCTTTTAACTTAAACTTCTGCAAATGGCACATGAGAGGCTTTAAAATGTTCAAAAATAAGATATTTTATTCAACGTAGAGGGGAAAAGGTCAGGTGAAATCACAGGAGAAATGTCTGAGGTGAACCAAATATAACTCCTAGGTGACTTCTTATAATTACAAACTCCAGTTCATATGTTTCTAGCATGTGAGAGTTTAAAGTTTTACACAAAGTCTAAGAATCTTTGAAATGAGAGCCTTTGGTTTCAGTGTTTTCTAAACACTCCAGTATACTTTCTTGACTCTTTAGATTTCAGAAGGCAGGGATAGACTACCAAGTACCCAAATTTCTTCTCTAAACACATCAGGAATCACTCCACTCTTTGAGCTATTTCCCTTTCCAACTGGGTAGGGAATCACTTCTCTAACTAGAAGAGCTATCCCTTTTTCTGGCCCAAATGAGGGTGTTCACTGATCTACTCAGTCCTCCTTGCCAACCTTCCCACTCCTCAGTCAGTATTAAACTTTCTTCAGTCAGTTCTAAACACTCCTCAGTCAGGGCTAAGCTCTCACAGGTCACAGCTAAACTGCTCCTGTTCTCAGTCAGTACTAAACTGAAGTATCCTCAGCAGTCAGTTCCCACATCTCTCTGCTCAACTGATGCTCAGCAATCAAATTCCTTTTTGAGCAGCCTGTCACTCAAGGCTCTTTGGTCCTGTGAGGCATTAACCCTTCACAGTCCATTACATGTTTACAAAGCACTTATGTGCTTTTAAAGTACAGTCTGTCACACCTGTGTTATTGGGCATTGTCTGCTAGAATCTGACATTGTTTTGAGTGCTCTTCGTGATGGGTACTGAAGATCCTATTGTTTCAAATGTTGCTACGTTCAAAGCCATTATGATTTAATTTTACATTTAGTTGTAAAGTGTTAGATTTATTATAAATATTTGTTACACTGGAAAACATAACACCTTTATTGTTTTTTTTCCTTATTTTTAAGCGATTTCACATTTCTTTCCCAAGCCACAAGGGTGCTGTCCATTATTTATCTGACCCCCTGCTCAGGGATCTATGTACCCAGGGCTCTGCTGGGTTGCAAAAGCACTGGACCATTAGTAAAGCATAGCACACATTATTTGGTGAATTTGTCTTTCTATTTCCATCTCATTATAATGTTAATGGTAAGAAATCTAGGTACTATACAACTATCAAAGATTAGATTGAACCTTCTCTTCCGCTAGCAGCCCTTTATGAGTCTGTCTTATACTGAATCAGATCACTGGTCTATCAAGGTCAGTATTGTCTACTCTGACTCTCAGCAGCTGTTCAGGGTCTCAGGAAGAGATATTTCACACCACCCACTGCCTGATCCCTTTAACTGGAGATGCCAGGGACTGAACTTGGGACCTTTTACATCCACAGCAAATACTCTTACCACCACTAAGACATGGCCCCTCCTGGCTGAAGTAAGGAAGAGGAACTGAGCAAAGGCATCCCCACTTCATCCCTGCCACTGGTGGAAGAGGAGGCTATCAATTGGGCCAAGAGGAAGTCTAGTGATTTTGCTCAGTTCTTCCCTCCTCACAAGCCCTAAGTGCCGTATGGATTTTGTCCACAAGTCCTTCCCACTCACACATTGTTTTCTGGGCAGAATTTAGGTGCTAGGTGAAAGGTAAAGGAAGAGAAAAAGCCACCAACGCAAGCACCTTCTGCTCACAATTCAAAGGATTCGGCCCAGTGTGGCTGCGGTCACACACACAAAATAATCCAGTTTCAATCCACTTTCAGTGCACTTTCCAACTGGATTTTACTATGTGAACTGGCAAAATCCAGTTGAAAACTGCATTGAAAGTGGATTAGTTAGTCTGTGTGACCGCAGCCTGTGTGTCCCTTAATGGGGCTTAAGAAAAAAATCCACTTCCTTCACAGTGCAACACTACCCTAGAACAAGTGCAGAAACTTACATTTGGCATAGAGGCAATCCATCATTGACTGCACCAGGTCTAGTTTGGCTTTAATGGAGAAATTGATAAAGTTGGTATCAACCAGGATGTAGTAGGGAGGCCCTAGTTGTGTGTTATATTGGAAGAACAAACAGGAGGGATATTGAGGGCTGCAAAGACAGATACAAGACAAGTTACTTCAATACAGGAATACAAAACATAATACCTACACATTGTCAGGCAACTCCTAAAAGTACCTGTGACTGGGGTGGAGGTAGCGTGCTATGACACATGCAGGGTTGAGGCCTGCAGTAGGCTTGGGGAGCGGAGTCTCAGCTCCATGGGTGGTCAAATGAAGACACTCCACTTCTTGGGAGTGCTCTCTGTTCTATTAAGGCTTCACCATATGCCAGTTTTACACTCCACAGCCTGGGGTACTTTGCAGCACTCTCCAGGTTCTCCAGACTTCCGTAGCTCCTCCTTCTCTGGTTTCAATCACCCCCAACTCCGTTTCATCACTACCTTAAGAGCACAGCCCAATAAGTGGAACCACCCACTGTTGTCAGGTGCCTGCCCTCTGGTCCTTACGCCCCAATTATACCTCAGTCCTAATGGTACTCTGTCATCTCCACCAGCCACAGCCACCCTTGTCCTGCTGCAAGGGTCCTTGGCCACACTCATCCCACAGGTCTGTCCTGTTTCCAAGCCAGTCATCCTGAGGAGGCTTGTCAAACTCAGCTGGAGCCAGTCTGCTCCGGCTTATGTGTACTGCTCATGGTCTGGGATCCTATCCAGTGCCACAGCACCTTTGCATGACATACAGATTCTTGATCCCAGACAAATGGGACGGAAAATGCAGGGGGGAAGCGTGGCTGTTTGCCCCGGAGCAAAGTAACGTGCAGCAGCCCGATCACATGTCCCGTCGAAGTCCCATAGTTGGGCCGTTAGGTGCCGATCACACGGCTATCCTGCAGCGCGGCAAAGAAGCGATGCAGCACGATCACACCAGCAATCGCTAGGCGCCGTTTCCATGGCAAACGGGATTTTTTTTTCTCACTGAAAGTTGTGCATGCGCATGATTGTTTGTGCGCATCCTGTGGAGACTTAAAAAAAAATCCGGTTTGTGACAGGACATGGACGGGCACCGGATACCACGGGATTCAAGTGGAAACGCGATCAGACGCCCGCCCTTGCCCCGTGTTTTCCGGAAACTAGTACCTCGTATGTAGTAGTTTTTTTTACTATGCATCTTTGGTGAGAAGCCATGGGTTAGCCAATGGTGCGCTACGTCTCCCAGATGTTCCGGTGTGATTGCACCCGGAAAATCTGCGGGACGATCGTGCCTTCAGCGCAGCAAATACTTCGTGTGAACGGGGCCATAGTTAATTTTAACCTTTATATGCTTTTATAGGTGTGGAAAATCTAGCTACTCTGTGTCTCACAGTGGCTGGGAGGGGGGGGAAGGGGGAGAGGCCAACCGGGACTGGAAAAATCCAAACTTCCCCACCAATATGGAAGCCAGACAGGCTTTGCTGCAACCTTCCCCAAAACTTTGCAACAAAGCAGGTTTGGAAAACATCAGATAAAAGGTGGGGAAACTTCAGGATGTATATAAATGCATGCTGAAGGAAAGGGGTGTGTGTGGAGACATTTCCCAACAACATCGAACTCAGGACAAATAACCCATGTGGAAACAGCCAAAGAGGCAGTCTTTTTCTCAACTTTAAGAACTCTTCAAAAGTCCTTCTTGATTAAAAGACTGAAGCCATGTCCAAAGTTCCTCCCTTGGCTCAAAATAATGAAAGTGTAGACCACAAAAGTGGCAGTGCTTGCTATAAGACTGTACATGACATCTAGGACAGACTTTTCCACCCATTCTTCTCCACTTCCTAGACCGCAGAGCCATTATTAAGAAGCTGCTGCCTTGAAGAAACCATCTGTGGTGAAAAACTGAAAGGCATCAAGAGCAAGGTCAAAAGTGCTACATGCCCTACTTCCTGCATGCTTACTAATGTTCACAGACAATCCTACTGCCTAAGTAATGGTTTACTAAGTCCAGAACCAGTCCCTAACATTCTACTTCCTGAGAGGGGCAGGGAAGCACCACATCTAGGAAGTCTAACAACACTTGTTTCCCTTGCAAAAAAGTCCATACTCAAGGACTCTGGTTCTTGTAATTTCCCACAATGCATCTGGTGAGCACTACACAGAAAGCAAGAAATCCTTTGGTACTTACACCTCTCTCTCTTTGATAGCACTTGGATCATCCTTCTTTTTCTTCTTGGCTTTTGCTCGGTCTTGCTCCTTGCTGGGAACAACAAAAGGTTTCAGAAAAGCACATTACCAATTATCATCAACCAAAAGAGCAACATTTACTTCCATCTTTGGTAACAGGCCTTCACCTCAGGGAGGTCTGCAGCTTACCTGTTGCTTCAGTGGCAGCTGAACCACAGGTGGCATTTTGACACAAAGTAATAAAACAAACAGAAATCCCTAAATTCAGTCGAACAAACCAGTAAATGTAGACATGAAAACAGAAAAGTACACTTCCTTTTTGTTGTTGTTGTTATCCAGTCACAGCTGGCTCATGGTGACCTTGTGTGGTTTTCAATGCAAGAGACATTCAGAAGTGGTCTGCTATTGCGTTCCGCTGTGTCATGACCCTGGTATTCATTGGTGGTCTCTCATCCAAGTATTAACCAAGGTCGACCCTGTTTAGCTTCTGAGATCTGATGAGACTGGGCTAGTCTGGGCTATCCAGGTCAGAATACATTTCCATTTACCCCTCCATAAAATATTAACAGCACACATTTAAGTTGATAAGTACCTATGTTTTTTCACTCTTCTCGCTTCCAAGTGGTTGTTTGATAGGTTTCTAGAAGAGTTCATTTCTTTCTACAGACTTGTGGGATGCCAAATTTCATATTGCAAATTTAAAGATATCCTGATTTTCATTCATGGCAGGGCATGCTTAACTTTCATTGTGTTGGGTCTTTTAAAGTGACCCCAACATTATACCTTAATTCTTAACAGAAGTAAATTATTTTTGAGTGTGTGATATGTCATATGTTAATGACACAATGTAATAGCACAAGCTAGTACTTCCAGGTAATGAATACTTGACATTCTGAACATACCACGCTGCAAACAGGTAGAATCAATAGTTAGTACCCAAGTATCCTCTGTTATGGTTCGCACCTGACAGAATGCCCTTTCTGATATGGTCAGGAAGGTGCCAACACTTATATTGTTCCTCAGACTGTTTGATGCAAAATTGTTCAGGACATTTTTATTAATGTCACTGAAATTTTAGGTGGTTCTAATCGCTCTGTCTGTTGCATACACTATGCTGTTAACACTGTCTCTCCAATTCTGTAATCCAGTTTCGGTTCATTGTCTGTTGTATGTATTATACTATTTTATTGTATGTCGTATACTGTTTAATTTACTGTTCTAATTCTGCAATCCCATACTGCTCTGATTGCATTGTTTTTAATTGTGAAACCCACCTTGAGTATGTGGGAAAAAAATTCAGTGGGATTTTTTTAAATAGGCAACTACCCCCAGCAGTTCTGTATTAAACACAGTTCAGAACATTTAAAAACTGCTACCCAATTAATTTGGTGAGATTTCTTAATCCATAAAAAGTGGTCAATTAATAAAAGGAATATCCATTAAAGACAGTAGTCTTATCTCAAAACTCAGCAGCTGTCAGTCACCACTCAATAACTTCAAGATACTCACAGGCGCTGGTCACGGAGGCTGATCATGCGTTTCATAGTAGCATATTTTCTTGCTTTCTTCTGTTTCCCCTGAAAAGGATACATTAATAATAGGTAATTATTCTGTAGAAATACCATGGGGTACTGCTTGATTTCTACTATGAAAGACTTAAAAAACTCAAGCCTACTTGTAGATCAGGCATGTTATTTATGGTTACTCACCAACGACAGAAAAACACTCCACACATGATGTAATGACTAGTAATTGCCATTTCATAGTATCTGATGAAGTGTGTGTACACACGAAAGCTCATGCCTTGAATAAAGCTTTGTTGGTCTTAAAGATGCCACTGAATTCAAACTTTGTTATGCTGTTCACTGTTATCATGTCCCTAGTAATTAAAACAAATAACTGGACTGAAGCTTCAACAAATTTTCACTCAAATTAGGCTGTAGTGTAAGCCATTCCACTACCAAGTCAGTCTCTTATGCCCTTTCTTGTTAAAAGTTCAGGATGAAATACATGGTTCTCCCCTCCACCATTTTAATCCTTATAACAGTCCCATGAGGCAGGTTAGAATTAAATAGTGATTGTCCCAATATTGCTCACTGAGTTTTGGATTGAGTGGGGATTTCCCACTCCAAGCCCAAATGTTCAACATCACACTGACTATGACTCTGTTCCAGCACATCACAACCACAAGATTACCACCATATGTGAACAGAATTGCTTCCTTCTAATGCTGCAAGGGCTCATTAATACCTTGCCCTAGGAACTGACTTCTCTACCTGTCAGCTGAACCACCCAAGAATATGAAGTCAGTGGGCAAGACTTGTTTCCCTTGACAGCTTCTTATGTAGTAGATTTCAAATATGATAGTTGGCTTTCTGCAAACTGTACAAAACTGAATTATTCAAGAGGACTTTTCTGCACAGTTAATGGGGTTACGCCATGCAAAATGGATCCAGGTTGGTAGCCATGTTGGTCTGAAGCAGTAGAACAAAGTCTGAGTCCAGTGGCACCTTTAAGACCAACAGTTTTATTCAAGGTATAAGCTTTTGTGTGCAAGCTTACATCTTCAGATACAGTGAAACAGAGTGAAACGGTACAAAATGGTTCACAAACTTTCTTGGATAAATGATGAGAGAATGTGGTCTATACTGCTTTGTATCACTTATTGTCAGTAGGTTGCTATTATGTAATTTTTCTATCGCTTAATACTTATGCTATGCTTCAGTTCTTTCTAGTAGTTCCAGACTGCTAAAATCCTAATACATTGGTTACTGAATGTCACATTTTCTTAACTGTACTGATTCATTTTGTGTAATCGGCCAGGAGTGCCTGTGAGAAAGGCAGACTATAAATAACATAATAAAGTACATAAAGGGGAAGGAGGGCAAAATTGCTTATACTGACTGAAATGAGGCAAATAAGTGCCTCATTATTCTCCCTTTTCCTTCCTCTCATTGTTAGACCACAACCTGACTGCCCAATAATTTGTAACCAGCCCAGAACAGCAAGCCTTACAAAGTTGGCCACCGTACCCAGTTTGTGGAAGATAGTCCCTGTTGTGACAAGAACATAAGAGACACTAGCCTACAGATAAGTCACCCTGGGAACAGAGCCATAACCTCCTCAGATTTCAGGCTGAAAGGAGATGGTTACCCTTTATGGAAACAAATGGGCAGGATAGAGATAACAATTTGCCTGCCTGCCAGAAAAGAGCAAGACAGAATATCCTGAGTTAGGGTAATAAAAAGTTGATGACTTTGCACTTTATTATGGTTGGGTAAAGGTGCAAGGCAGCACACATGGGAACTCAAACCCAATTTCAGAAGAGTTCAAAGCTAGTAAGAAATGGTTATAATGTTTAGCACATGTTGCGGAGGCACACAAGCCAAGGACTAAGGAGAACTGGAGTGAATTTTGCATCAGCCAGCCTCTATGTTTCAAAGTTCCAGCTTAGTTGGTGTCCACCCCACAGAAAGGAATGTCAAGGTAAACCCAGTGACTTGTACAACTTAGTTGGCCCTTAGTTTTGTTTCTTGTATGTTAACTTCTGTAACATTCCTGCTAATGTTCTGACACTAGCTTCCTATCCTCTTGCGCTCTATAAACTAGAGGTGTATGTTAGCAAATGAAGACCTTTTTTCTTTCTAAAGATCTCGGACTGTGACTAGGAGCTCTAATCCAAGCACCTGCCCATTCAAACACACATAGACTAAACACCTGACCAGGCTAATGGGTTAGTAGGGCATGGGGAAGGGCAGTCCACAATGGCAAGGGCATGTACAGGTAGGACACCACTGTCAGTGCTTCAAACCACTGATAACCAAGGAAAGGTAGACAGGCTTAAGCAGTGGCAAAGGAACTACCCCATATGATAGAAGAAAAGCAAAAGAAGATATTGGATTTATATCCCACCCTTCACTACCCAAAGGAATCTCAGAGTGGTTTAAAATCTCCTTTCCCTTCCCTTCCCCACAAGAGACATCCTGTGAGGTAGATGGGGCTGAGAGAGCTCTTTCGAGGACTGCTTGAGAGAGAACAGCTCTAAGAGAACTCTCCCAGATTAGAACCCACACTGGAGTCTGGACACTGTGCAAGCAGCGAGACAGAGTTATAAGGAAATAGGGAGCAATTTGGCTAATCCCCCATTACCTCTTGGGTACGGGGGTGGATTGTTACAGGCCCATAAATGGCTACTAGCCATTATAGACGAATGGAACCTCCGTGTTCAAGACAACATATCTTTGAATGCCAGGAACCAGGAGAACTGAGACTACAACAGGGTGAGGTTTGGGCCTCTTTAACTCTGTTTATTGGCAATCTCGGAGCACGCAAAAACAAGATGCTGAACTACACAACTGTTGGTCTGATTCACCAGGGCCGCGATGTTGCTCAGATCAATCCTTTACAGAGCGACTCCCGTCAATGGGCTTATTTATTTCAAAAATGCAGATGCCGCCAGTCCAGAAAACCTGCTCCCCCCGTCTCTCATCAAGGCAATCATCATAAAACCGCACAGCATTGTCAAAAATTTAACAAGACATTCCAGAAACACACAAAATAAAACCCCGGCCATTAAAGACTGCAACTACTCCACGGAGAATTACGCTCTGTATTTCTCCACACGCATATATTTGGGAAGAACCTCTATCGCCTGCATAAGCAGGATCGGCCACCGCCCCACGACAAACTCGCTACTCACCATCTTGTAGCCTCTTCAGCTTTCGCACGAGCCTCCACCGTACCTTCTCACTTTTTGTTGGGCTGCTTCCGGTACGCTCGTTCACACGTCACTTCCGGCTACCGGGGAGGGAAGGAGAGTGGCTGGAGTCTGGGACCTGGACAGTGCGCGAGCCGCGAGACCGTTAGAGAGCTATTAGCCCCGTCGCTGCTGCCTTGTCTTCGCTTCCAGAGAGAAGAGAAGGGGGGGCCCAGCTTGGAGTCGGGGCAAAGAGACGCCTGCCGCTGGGAATGGGGGCGGCGCCCTTGGGCATTCCCTCTTTCCTTCCGCCGCCTTGACGAAAGGGACGCGTCCGAGTTCTGTGGGGCTGGGTGGTCTTAGCCCCCAGCAGCAGAGTGAGGCCTCCTGGTGGGTTTCCTCCCAGTGTTTCCATCCTGCTAACTGGCAGAGCAAGGTGAAGTTTGTTCCTCCCCCCGGGGGGGGGATTATGTAGGCTGCAGAAGCCCCTTGATTTGTGGGCTGCTTCCTTTTTTTTCCGCCACACCCCCCTCCACTGGACAACTGGCAGGCGAAGGAGAATGGCGGGGAGGGTAACAAGAAGGGCTTCTCTTCATTGGTGCCTGTTCCTCGTCGCTCCATGGCTCTGTATATGTTAACAGGCAGGTGGGGGGGAGTGTCTCGTCCGTCTCCCGCCGCTTAAATCAGTCCTGAAAGTCAAGTTGGCAGTTGCAGTGTTTTGAATGTGACGAAATGTTGCCCCCCCCCCCAGGAGTGAATGATCTTTTTCACACGGGAATCTTTGTTGACCCTGTTCTTGTAAGCCTTCCTGCGGTCGCTTCTGCATTGTCTGTGTCCTGCATGTTCTGCTGCAGTGAGGCACTTCATTGTTTTTCATTGCTCTGGTAGTGCTCAGTCCTGAATAGAGTGTTGTTCTAGAAGAATCCAACTTGGGGGAAAATCTTTTCCCCACCTTGCTTTACATACTTTGTTTTTGATATGAGCTTTCTGTTGCTTGAGATGTTGTCAGATTTGCCCAGTATAATAAGCTAGTGATGTCTTTTTGTTGTTGGGTATGAACAGTCTGGCCCAGGCACCTTTGCAGTGTCTCCCCCTCACCATTAAGTAATTTGGAGTTGTTTGAAATACACAGTGGAATGTTTTAGATCATGGTATGAAATACTTTGGTATGAAATGGTATGAAATCCATTGTTGTGAAATTTGTGCTATATTTCTCTTCTTTTGTATAAAGGGCATCTGATGGTAAGGCTCGCATATAAGTTGCAGGGAGAGATAGGTTACATGGTTCTTATTTGCAGATATTCTTATATACAGGGTTGTCTTGAACTATGGGCTGAGACTACAACAGAGCCACTCATTTGTAAAAATCGTCTCTAAGCAGTGAAATCTTACAAAACTCTCTAAAAACATACATTGCCAATTCCAGTATGTGGGTTAAAACTGTTTCTGGACTTGTAAGCGTGTTATATTAGTTTTTCCTATTCTTGCCCTACAGTGACTACTGTGAAAGCAGATTAGTGAAAATTCTTCTGTTCTTTTTAAAATTAACTTGTGAGGAGCAATCCTGTGTGTTAACTACCACTGGCAGCTTGAGGGTCTTGGTCTCGTTTTAGCAAGACCAGCAGAGCCCCAATTGTATTTAGTCTGGTTGCTCATATATATGAGCAATTTTACCATGTGCCAGCACAGCAGAAAGCTAATTACTAAGCATATATTATGAGGCAGATGTGTGCACATTCATTGTATCATGGACAAGGTGGAATAAATTTTGTTAATCTTTAAGGTGCTACTGGACTGCCTGAATGATAGGTTTTGGGGTTTCTTTTAAGGATTGTTCATTGTCACGATGACAGTTGATGTGACACAGGGACCTGGCCTTTGCCACTTGTATTGACTCAGTTGTGTAACATCGTGTCAGCTGTAGGTTATGAATTTACATTTAATGCACACTCATGTTCTTTCGCATTTGCTGGCTAAGCCTGCTGAAAGATATTTCTGCTTTGTTTGTAGTCTGTGTTCTAACTACATAAGCAGCAGCAAACTGTTCAGTGTGCCAATAAAGCTTTTTTTACACAGCTGTTGGTGAATTGCTGTTAATCACTATTCCTTAGCTTGGTTCCTAGTTGACATTAAAGCACAATGGAAATATAGTTTCTGCAGTTTGGGGGGAAGGATAAAAGTTGGTGTTACTGCAGGCTACCATAATTGTATTTCTGTCAGTGATTACCAGACAGTAGGAAATATGGAAGAAGCACCACCTGACACCTTGGAGAAGTCCTATTGGAATGGCGGGCTTCAATTCTACTTGCATTCCAGTGTCTCTGTTTCTGCATCAACAGCAGTTTGAACATGCTACCCTTAATGTATCCACAAAGTGTGGACATAAAATTGCTTGAAGTTGGATTGCAGTTAACTCTAGAAGTAAAAGTATGTTCACTTATCTGTATGGCAGTCAGAGGTGCAAGAAGATCAGGAAGGATGTCCCTGCACAACCTCTAGCATCTGATAATATGACTGTCTACGATGATAATATGTCTGTCAAAGAACTGGCTTTTGGAGTTGCTTGCACAACAGTCCTGCCCCTGCTAGCACTTTGAGTGTTGCATCTGTCCAATGCTACTTGCCCATTCATATCTTCCTAGAGTTTAGCTTGGAGTTAAGCACAGACACGGGGCAGAAATTTTCCACTGCTTAATTTATCAGCAGAAAATTTTCCATTTCTAAAGATGCTTTGTGTAGTAAAATTAATCACTATATAGAGCCTTTTCACCCATCTCTCTCTGCAAGTGTGTGGTTACAATGATAACACTGAATAGATGCTGTTGCTAACACAATATTAGACAAGCTTGGTAGTTTTAAAGCTGTAATGCATGTTTTTATCATGATTATCCTTAGGAATTGCATGAGCAAGTGCATGTGTGTTGTTGTTTTGAAAATGGGGTGGGAATAAAACCACAAGGACATACAATAAAAAAAAATTAAAACTCAAGTTATGAATTCATCTGGCTTTAAGTCAGAACCAGAAGTAAAATTCTTATTTCATCTCTGACTACAAATGAGAGCAAAACCAAAACTGTCTGTTTTTTGTTTCACTTAAAATAAATACAATATCTTATTTCTTTTCCTGAGCTGGGGAAGTTTGAAATATAGTTAAAGTAAATCTGGTATGGAACTAACAATTAACTAACAAGAGCTATCTCAGCCCCACCTACCTCATAGGGTGTCTGTTGTGGGGAGGGGAAGGGAAGGGAAAGGAGATTGTAAGCCGCTCTGAGACTTCTCCGGGTAGTGAAGGGTGGAGTATAAATCCAGTCTCTTCTTCTAATGCAAGAGATAGTGCAGAAGGTGACAGTGAAACTGAAGTGTTCCTGTGACCTCCATGGAAGAAAATTCCATTTTGTTGAAGCAGATGGGTGACCAGTCATGTCCAGAGCATATCATGCACAGTTCTTTGGGTGTGCTGAGATTAGTATGTCAACAGTTTTCAATGCCTTCAGTTTTTTTCTTACTTTTAAAGATACAAGGACACTAAATGTGATATTGCCATTAGCTGTTCGTAAGTATTAGCCCAATAAAATAATTTCCACAAACATTTGAATTTGCTTGAATATAACATTTAAACCATGTTTGATTTTGTTTTTTTCTGTTCAAATACTTCAGGTCAAGCATTTGATGCTATGAAAACATAAAACTAGTATGAAATAGTTTTGAAACTTTGTCTATTAAACATAAACCAGAATAAACATGGTAAATCAGATCATGCTCTATTTAGGGCATCAGAAGGATCTCCAAATTATTCTGAAGAAAGCACGAGTTATAAATCAAATGTGTCTTGGAGTCAGAAACAGAGGGTTACAGTGTCTCTTTTCCTTAGAGCATAAGCTTTTTCAGCCAGCACTTCTTGATTTTTTTATTAGGGCAGAATAATCCATAAGATTTCCCAGGCAGGCCTGAATTCAGCTTGGGGGTGGTGGAAATTTTCAGCAGAAAAAGTGTGCAAGGGCAAAGAGTTAAATAGTTGCTCCTATAAATTTTCCCATTTAAATTCCAGCCCCAAAGTATGTAACCTGTTAGTTTATTTTTCCATGTTTTTTTAAAACAAGAATTTACATGTAATGTAGTGTTTCACCCTTAGTTTCTGTGTTATTGTAATCAATTTAATGCCAAATTCCCTCTCTAATCTGATAATGAATTGCATTGTATGTTTGGAAGTAGCTAAATATGCAAAATAGCTTGATCCTCTGTGCCCTAAATATGTTTGCTGTCTGGTCTCAGGTTATGTGGCACAAAGGAGCAAGCTTTGAATGTGATAACTCTTCTGCTGTTTTCTGTCTGTCTAGTCTGTCATCTTGCCTGTCATTTCACATAAAGCAAATGAAATCAGAGTTAAATTTACTTACAGAGTGAGACATGCTTTCAGGCAAGGAGAATTTTGAAATAGTGCACTGAAGAATAGTCACAGATAGTAGGAAGGATGTCAGGTTTCTTTCAGGTACAAAATTTAATCAGAAGATATCTCTGTCATTTATGGAAGATGCTAATGGTAGGCCAGCTGGTAGATAAGAGATCCCTTTTGTCTCTCACAGGAGTTAAGTTGGATGACTAGGGTAGTTCTGTGTTTGTATTTGATTGTTTGAAAGCTCCTTAGAAAGTAAAACTTCAGAATTGTTGAGTAGCATTTATAAGCATCTCAAGGCTCGTAAGCACCTTCATAAAGATATAAGATGCATTCCAGTGGGACGAGTATCGCGGGTCCCCCACTTGTAAAGATATAAGATGCATTCCAGTGGGGCAATATACTTTGGTTCTTTGTCCCTGGCTTTAACCTGCACTGCAAAATTACACTTTGGTTATAACACTTAAGTTGGCTTTAACCTGCACTGCAAAATTACACTTAAGTAGTTTGCTATTTTTGTAATTATTGCAATCATTTACTGAAAGTTTGAGCAGCACAAGTTTAGGCATTTCATCATCCATATCCTGTTTCTGAACACCCCAATATATGGGTAATTTTGTATGCTGTGGGAGGGTTGCCTACTAACGGATAGAATATATATGGATGGTAGGGAATTTTGAAGCCTGGTTAAAACCTGTAAGGAATTGATCCCTGTACTTCTACACTCCAGTACTCTGAAACCAAACTTGTAGCTGAGACTGGCATGCATATATTAACTAAAGAACAATTGGAAAGGGTGAAGAGAAAAATCGGGAAGGTTAGTTTTGGATGGAGTAGTCTGCCACTGTTTCTTTCCTCAGTGAAAATCCTCCTTATCTCCACCTAGTACGGTATCAGTGATGGATCCAGTTCCAGACAGAGAAAAAGGATTTTATTTTTTTGTACTGACTATAGGGAGTTGAGCGAAAATTGTGTATACTCCATCCCAGTTAGGCTTGAGGTCTAGATGTACCATCACCACTCCATCCATCTTGGAAGAGTTCCTAGCCCGTTTGGGAACATCAGTAGCCTTCTGAGTGTTTTCCATGAAAGCCAGTTGAGGCATGTGCAAAGGGGTGAGGATGTAGTTTCCATCATTCCTCTGTCCAGCATCTTACACCATTGCACATTTATAAGTTGCTCCTTAGTAATATTTATTAAGAAAGATTTGTAGAATCTGTTCCAAATTTGTATCACAAGTTGTTGTTTGAGTCTGCAGTCCCATTAATTTTCCAAATACAGCCAGTCAATTAAGAGCGGAAGCTCTGAGCCACCTTTCCAGACTGCTTGTCAGAAAGTCTTTTATAACTAGAAAATGTGTCTAATCAAATAGCTAGCTGAGCAATAGGCAAATATTGTCTATCTGGAATCCCCAGATAGTAAAGGAAGAAGTGCATGAGCACATTGTGTTTTCCCTAGTATGTATAGGAGAAAGAGACACTTGGCAATGGGGCTTCTGTGAAGCACACATTAAAGGTCTTTGGAGCAAATTTTCTCTATTTTTTTCAAATGGACCTGAGGAATTTGGAAACTTTTAGTGAGTAAAGGAAGAATAACAAAACTGTAGACATTGCAGAGGAAGGGGACATGGTACTTCAGCACAGAAGATAAGAGACTGCACCAATCCTTGCTTAATATTCATTGATATGCTTTTGTAGGCATGGTTGGTGGTGTACTTTTCCTTAATTTGAGTATTGGGATATTTTGTGATTCTTTCTATGTTGTGTCCTTCCATCAGAATGTCTATGGCTAATGTGACTCTTGTGTAAAATGTAGTAGTAAGAATGTTGTCTTTCATCTGTTTGACTAGACATTTGATCATTTCATAAATGTAATTATGGTAATTTCTTGTTTTTCATTTCAGGAGGATGTGCCGACAAACCTAGGGTTTCGTGATGTGACTGTGCAGACTGCCACTCTTTGGGATGGGAGACCCTTTGGCATGCTTGATTCCCTAGCTGTGAACCTTTATTGTGGATTCCCAAACTGCTTTCCTTCATGATGACCTGGCATTCATCACTTCCTGATGCTTGCCTAGATTTTGTGTGCTGAACAGAAAGGTGCTTTGGAATGGGCACTCCCCTATTGTCTTTCAGGGCATGGGAGCTTGTGTAAAGGTATGTGGTTTCGGGGGTGGAGAAGATACTTCTGTAAGTGGTGAACAACAGTTTAGATTACAGTTTAGATCACTGACAGTCAAAAAAGAAAAAAATCAATGTTATGTGATTTGCTGCTTTTGGGGGCTGACAGTAATATACATAAAGGTACCTGGTGTGTCATGATGTGCTTTCCGGAACTCTCCACGCTCTTTAGAGTAAAAGAGCTTGAGCAATGTTGGTTTTTGATTTAAGTAAAAAGAGGCAGGCAAGCACAACTCCTTTTCCTGTGTGATGGCCCCCTTTTTAAAATCCTGTTACTGACAATTGCTTTGCTAACTTCTCTTTTTGGAAAAGAGACTTGTGTGTATAACAGATGCAGACTGGGACAATGCTGGTGGTGGATAGCCCAAAACGAGCAAGGAATTTTCCTTTCTGCTCTGACATCTGCCATTTGTTGTCAGTACACATGCTGAAAGTTTTGCAGGCCACTTTGCATTTTCTTTATTTCATTACTGTACATGTATGTTAATGTCAGAAATTATAAACTGTTAAACTTTATTACTCATTTTCAATTATTTTTCTTGCTTAGATTGTTAATTTGAATAATTGTCAGTATGCACTGGAGAATATTGGTGATTTCCAGTTCTGATACAAATTAACATATGAATATTGGCTAAGAACAACCAGACATTATAACTTGACTTTACTGTTCCAAGGTGTAGAACAGAGGTGTCAAACTTATTTGTTACGAGGGCCAGATCTGACATAAATGTCACTTTGTTGGGCCAGGCCATATGTGCCAAAAATGTAATATGAGGTACTGGAGATATAAACTTTAAAAAGATAATTTCAGATGTCAAATGGCAATAGTAGGCATGATTGGGTTAGGTGTGATATGCAGAGGGATAGTAGGTGTGGCGATATCAGCATTGGTAATGAAACAGAAAACCTAGGTCTCAATTTGATGCAGGAGGATTCAGTCCAAGAAGATGCAAGGAATAAATGGAAATAAGTCTGAAGAAGTGAGCACAGACTCACAAAAGCACATACCCTACCATAAATTTTGTTAGTCTTTAAGGTGCTCCTGGACTTTTACTCTTTCTACTACTAGTAGAAACCACAACATTCAAAAACCAGTGGGGGGATATTTTAACCTTCCAGGACATTCAGTTGCTGACTTAAGAGTACCAGTTCTCTTACAAAGGCATTTCAAAAGGAGATTAGAAAGAGAGACTACTGAATTGCAACTGATAATGAAGCTCAAGACAATCCATCCTCCTGGACTGAATTGAGACCTAGGTTTCTTCTCTCATTACCAATGCATTCTATTGTCATTTGGCATCTGAAATCACTTCACTCTCCAATATATAAGGACAGATGGACTCACATTCTAGATGTATCTGAAGTTATTTTTTTCTCATTCCAGATGCAGCTGTGATCCTTGGCTGCGTGTCTCATTGAAGGGACCTAATGTTTTACGTTATTGGTAAGCAAAGAATCAGCTGTTCATAGGACACAATTTTTTCAAGGTCGATTTCTTTTAACTCATAGGATCAGAATCTGGTAAAAGAGACTGATCAAGACACTGTGGTGGTAGAGAACAGAAAAACCAAATCTCTCCCCTTTCCCCAGTAAAAAATATAATAAAGTAATTGGCAATTCATTTCACTTTCACAGTGTCTCAGAATATGCTGTTCAGCCTGCCTTAAAGGTCCTGTGTGGTGAAATTGTTCTCTCTGTGAGACTTCTAAGTGTTTATGAATTCTGCCTTGAGTAGCCCTGAGCATCATGCAGTTCCCAGTCTCTGTGTTTGTGAATTCTCCATATCTTTCTGAATTCTAACTGCTCTATATTTTCTGTTTGTGACAGGTGGGATCACAGTGTCTGTGGTAGCTTTCTTTTTCACCATTAAGTTCCTCTTTGAGCTTGCCGCACGTGTAGTCAGCTTCCTCCAGCATGAGGATCGGGAACGCCGAGGGGAGCGGACCATTTATGACTACGTGCGAGGCAACTACTTGGACCCCCGCTCTTGCAAAGTTTGCTGGGATTGGAAGGACCCCTATGAGGTGGGCCACAGCATGGCCTTCCGAGTGCATGTAAGGGAATATTTCTGTTTCCACAACAATTTGGGGATTGGGTTTAGGGTATGCGGCCTGTTCCAGTGCCTTCCTCCTCCACGTGGCTTTTTATATTGGAGTTATTACACAGGCTATACTTTTTCATGAACTTGGAGAGCCAGTTTGGTGTAGTAGTTAAGTGAGCGGACTCTAATCTGGAAGAACCAGGTTTGATTCCCCACTCCTACACTTGCAGCTGCTGGATGACCTTGGGCAAGCCATAGTTTTGTCAGAGGTGTTCTTGAAAAGAGCAGTTTCTGTCAGAGCCCTCTCAGCCCCACCTACATCACAGGGTGTCTGTTGTGGGGAGGGGAAGGGAAAGGAGTTTGTAAGCCACTCTCAGTGAAGGGGAGGTTATAAATCCAATCTCTTCTTCCTCTTCCTCCTCCTCTTCTTCTTCCGTGTATATTATCACCAAAGACTTCAAAGATATCTAGGGGGCATCTCATATGTTTTTGTAGTGAGTTTGTGTGGACTTCCATATTCAGGCAAGTTAAGCTTAATTGTTTCCCTGATAAGATTTAGCTGTATCCATTTTTCTTCTGGACATAATTTTGTTGAGATTGCTGTATATGCAAGCATACAGCTTGGAGTTTAGTTGTGTTGAAGGTCATCTCTTTTTCTTAAATAGTATAATCACTTCTATCAAAGCATATTGGAAGCCTGGAGATGGAGATGCCATACCTTATCTTAATAAGGGACACCATTCACAACATGGAGCTTTGAGATGCTTTCCTTTTCACTGGTGCACCATTTACTATGTTCATAGTATATCTGTGGCTTCCTGTTCATCCAGGCTTCTTAATTCGTTATGCAGTTGTTCTACAAGAATGGCCAGCCCTTCCCTGCTCACCGCCCTGTGGGGTTACGAATTCATATCTGCCATGTGGAGCTAGCAATGGATATTCCAGTGACCCAAGAAGTACTTCAGGATCCCAATTCGAATGTGGTGAAGGTGGCATTCACTGTGCGCAAGGCTGGGCGCTATGAGATCAGTGTGAAAATTGGGGGATTGAATGTGGCATATAGCCCTTACTACAAAGTCTTTCAGCCAGGTAAGGCCTAGGTGGGCTAATACCAAGGCAAGACATAGAAAGAAAAGCTTGACATAGATTATATGCCCCATTACTATTTGTGCTCTACTTATTTAGAGTGCTATGTTGTGGTCCACTGTGGGTAGGTTATAATGCCGCAGGCTGTCTTCGGGATTCTGGTGAAATGAAGACCAGCCATGCATGCTGCCAGTTGGATTTATGAATCAAAATGTGTTGTTAAATACAATAGCACACACTTGTCGCAATAGTGAGTAATCAAATAAAACTGTATGAAACACGTTACTTTTTCCCATAGAGAATTAGTAGTACCAGCTGAAAGCTCCAAGAGGATCAGGCATTAACTTCAATGGTAGACCATGTTTAGTCTTCCCCAAGTAGGAGGCCATGGTCCTGCCTAGCTCTTGACACCGTTCTGTGATAGGCGGGATTCTAAACTTAGGCGATCTTTTTATTTTGTGTTATTAATGTTTGAGTAATTCCCTTTGACTGTCTCTTACAACACCAGTGTGATGATAAATCAGTTTTTTTCTTTTCTGCAGGGATGGTGGTTCCATCCAAAACCAAAATTGTTTGCCATTTCTCCACTCTGGTGCTGACTTGTGGGGAGCCACACACTTTACAGATAGTCCCCAGAGATGAATATGATAATCCCACCAGTAACTCAATATCACTCATAGATGAGCACAATTACAGCCTTTCCATCCATGAGGTAAGCAAGATTGTGTCCCCTTCTGCCTTTTCAGGGTATGCAACACACCTATTTAGCCTAATAAAATACTTTTTGTTTTATCTAGCTTGGTCCCCAAGAAGAAGAGTCTTCTGATGTTTTGTTTGAAAAGTCTGTGGTTTCAAATCAAAAGACTTGTCAGGTTTTCTTGAGACTCATCCTACTCCGTAGGGGGTGTTTCCGTGCCTGCATCTCCTACCAAAACCAGCCTATTAGCAATGGCGAGTTTGATATCATTGTTTTGAGTGGTAAGTTGAGAACATTACAGTCACCTACATTTCAATTCTTCCACATAATGCTGTTATCTACTAGAGCATTTACAATGGATTTTTATTTACTGCATTTATATAGCACTCTTCCTTGAAAGATCTGACACTACAGTAATGCAGCAAATCTGTAAGGCAACTAAGCCTGAGAGGTAGTGACTTACCCAAGTCAACCAAGTGGGTTTAATAACTGAATGGAGTTTCAAACCCGTGTTTCCCTTCCAAACCTAACATTCTAGCTACTGTGCCATGCTAACAGGCACTCTCTCTTGGAAGTGTGGTTTCTCATGGAAATGAGAGTTTTGTGGAACCCACTGTTGTCCCTTTGATTTCGGGGATGTATTGCTGGTAAAGGAGGGCAAATAGAGAACCCTTGCAAAACCATTATTGAACAAGGATTCACTCAGTTATATACCTGAGTGAGCCAAAGAATAAAGAATTTACTGTTGTGAGACACTGGTAAAGTGCATTCTCCATCACTTCAAGCAAAATATTTTCCTTAACTACACATTGTGTGCATGTGTGTTTAAACAGTGCTCCAAAACCTTTTCATTAAATACTTATTTCAGTGGTAGGCAGTTTGGAATGGAGAAATGGCTGGAGGGAAAACGGCTAATTACTCCCTTTCCCCTCACTATTTCACGGCTCCATGTTTTCTTCTCCCCAAGCTGTTTTTCTTTTTCAAAGGAAAAAAAATGAAGCTTTTAGTTGCCAAGTCCCTTAAGCACCTTACTAAGTATTTAACCATTGCTAATGTTGATTTCAATGCAATTTGAGCATAATTGCTGTTCCTGGAGTGAGCTCTGTCTGTCTGATCTGCAGCTTCTCTTCCATTGTGTTGTAAGGCCAAAAATAAATAAGGATCAAATTTAGAGGTATTATTTTATACTGACATCTGAAATGCAATCTTAAAACGATCTTTGTACAGATAAGAAAAATAGTGTACCCCAGAAGAAGTATATTTTAATATAATATTAAAGGAAATATAGCCAGACTGTGCTCCCCTTTTGCCTTTATTGTTTTTAGAACTCCCAAAGAATGGCAGTGGTTTGTGAACATGTGGAATTGGGTTTTTTGAACGAATTCAGTTGTAGTTGAAAGCTGAGGTTAGACGAAGCCAAAAATCCCCATGGCAGGGTGGTTTTCATTATAGTGCACATGGGGTAGGGAAGATTCTCCAGTCTAAAAGCCATGTAGATATCATGCCTTTTTGTTATAGTGTCATTATACATCTTGTGTTTGCACATATTTCCTCTTACACTTCTGTGGATCTACAGAGTAACTTAAAGTGTCAACAAAAATATGATACATGGCACGTGGCTCACTCATAAAAATCCACTGAGGAAGTAGGGGGTGAGAGGAGAAAGAAAAATGAGGTATGGAGGGAACCTGTCTTCTGACTACATCCATCTCTCATTCTTGCAATCCTTTTGGCAACAAAGGAGGGTTGGGCTTTGAGCCCTAGTGCTATCTTTGGTGAAGGATTAGTCCCCATTTACTGTTCTTTGGGGCTAGGCTGGGTAGAAGGGGGAACTTGGGAGATGCTTTACCATATATTTGTTTTTCTTCCTATAATACAGTTCACATGCTTGCCCCAGGTGTAGTACTGGTGGCTATTCCACATCAGTACAAGGGAACCATACCTTTTAGACATAGTTTTGGAGGGAGGTGGAGTGATTCTGATACTTTCCTGAAGAATAGGGAATCTCTTGGTGAGGGGGACTTTGATCAGTCCTGTAGAACCACCTACTTTTTTTGTATGTGACATCTGTTTTATATATCTGTATTCAGTTATTTTTGAAAACACTAAAAACATGAAATATAGTCTGTTAGGGAAGTGAATGAGTTCTGATATCTTTAGTTTTTTTCTATGCTTAGCTTTTGATAATGTATGAATAGTAAGTAATCCTGGTGAAACTGTCCAGAGAACTAAATCTGAAGAATATCTAAAGCCATCAGGGGTAGGGGAAATTTTGGTTTGTCTTCTCCCTTTGTAGCACAAATTCAGCATTAGTTCCCTCCCATAAGGAAGGATTTATTTATTTATTTTAGCATTTATATCCCGCCCTCCCTGCAAGCGGGCTCAGGGCGGCTTACAAAGAGCAACAAGTGCCCACGCATAAAAACATAAAAACAATAAAACCAGTAATTATCAACACAAATAAGGTGCTCAGTAAGAAACAAGATGGTCAGCGAATAAAATTACAAGATAGTATCAGTCTTTCATAAGGTGGTGTTGTCCTGTAGTTGATGTACAACCAAGTTGGTATACGGTGCCACGCAGTATCCTGGCAGATCTTCCAGGAACCGTCCCCCCTAGCCCCGTTATTACCTATGCCGTTTGTGGCGGTGGCAGTGGCGGCCCCTACGTAAAAGCCTGGTGGAAGAGCTTCGTCTTACAGGCCCTGCGGAACTGCAGAAGGTCCCGCAGGGCCCTGATCTCCAGGAGCTTGTTCCACCAGGTAGGAGCCGCCACTGAAAAAGATCTGGCCCTGGTCGTGGCAAGCCTTGCCTCCGTGGGGCCTGGAATCACCAGGCAATGTTGTGTCCCAGACCTAAGTGCTCGTGGGGGTATGTGTGGGGAAAGGCGGTTCCTCAGGTAGGTCGGACCCTGACCATATAGGGCTTTAAAGGTAAGCCCTATATTGCCCATATAGCCTTGGGTCAGAAATTTAAACTGGCAAGCTGTAGTTTGTGCTTGCCCTGCAGACCAGGATTCCAAAACATGCTTTGTTCTTAGTTTGCAGTCCTCCTTTTGCAGGGCAACAACAAACCAGCTCTGATGTAACAGCAAACTGATTCACCACAAACAAGGAAGAGACTCATTGCCTTATGTTTCCCTGGAGAGGAGAGGTCATGTGAGTGAGCCCAAGTTTTGCTCATATAGTGCCAAACCTTGATTTGGCATTTTGTCTAAATTAGTTTGTCTAAAAGGTTCTCAGCGTTTTCAGATATGAATGTGACGTGCCATTTCTTTAAAGCGAGGGAACCCACACAGCCTCATATGATGTTGGCGAACTAGGTTTGTTTACACTGATACAGTGAATGAACTCGAGGCTCCATGCATGTCTTCTAGTCACATTCTGGATTATTTCAGCCCGCTCAGCCTTGAGGAAGTTGACAAACTGCTCCTAACTGTACGCCCTGCCACATGCCCCCTAAATCTCTGCCCTTCCTGGCTAATTAAAGCTGGCCATGAGGGGTTTCAAGTTGCCCTGCAGGAGATAATTAACAAGTCCCTCACTGAGGGGCTATTCCTGGAGGTGCTTAAGGAAGCAGTGGTGCACCCTCTCCTGAAAAAGCCATCTCTGGATCCGGCTGAATTGGCCAACTATCGGCCGGTTCCCAACTTGCCCTACCTGGGCAAGATAATAGAGAGGGCAGTGGCAAGTCAGTTACAGGACTTTTTGGATGATGCTTCCATATTAGACCCCTTTCACTCTGGCTTTCGCCCAGGTCACGGGACGGAGACGGCACTTGTCGCCCTCACGGATTACCTCCGAAGGCATCTGGATCAAGGCGGATCAGCAGTGCTGTTGCTGTTAGACCTGTCGGCCACATTCAATACGGTCGACCATCAGCTACTGATCACCACCTCGCCGACACTGGAGTCCAGGGACTAGCCCTGCAATGGCTTGTTTCCTTTCTCCAAGGCCGGGACAAACAGTGGCACTAGGGGATCAGCTATCCCGAAGGCACCCGCTGGAATGTGGAGTGCCCCAAGGGGCAATACTGTCCCCAATGCTTTTCAACATCTATATGCGCCCTCTTGCCCAGGTTGCCCGAAGGTATGGACTGGGTTGTCACCAGTACGTGGATGACACCCAGTTCTATCTGCTGTTGGGACAGTCAGTCCGACTCCAAACCGGAAGATCTAGACCTGGTGTTACAGGCTGTGGCTGGTTGTCTTAGGCTGAGCTGGCTGAAATTGAAACCGACGAAGACGGAGGTCCTGTGCCTGAGTCGGAGCAGTCTGGGGTTAGGGATCCCACTCCTGACCTTCGATGGGGCGCCATTGGTGCCAGTGCCGGAGGTTAAGAGTTTGGGAGTGCTCCTAGATGCCTCCTTAACAATGGAGGCCCAGGTAGCAGCCACTGCCAAGTCGGCCTTTTACCATCTCAGGCTGATCAGGCAGTTGGCTCCCTTCCTCGAATGCAACTACTTGGCAACAGTGATCCATGCAATGGTCACCTCAAGATTGGATTACTGTAATGCCGTCTACATGGGGCTGCCCTTGTCCCAAATCCAGAAGCTGCAGCTGGTGCAGAATGCCGTGGCCAGGTTGCTGATGAGCCTCCCTATACGGGAGCACATCCAACCTGTGCTAAACGCGCTGCACTGGCTGCCTATCGCATACCGGATTCATTTCAAGGTGCTGGTTATGACCTTTAAAGCCCTTTATGGCCAGAGACCTGCATACCTGAGGGACTGCCTTTCCCCATATGTTCCCCAGAGAGCACTTCGAATGGGGACCCAGAATCACCTGGCCCTCCCGAACATTAAGGAGGCCAGGGTAGCGAATCAGGGCCTTGTGGGACCTGTTGCAGTTCTGCAGGGCCTGTAAAACGGAGCTCTTCCACCAGGCTTTTGGAGCTGCTGCCACCGCCGACCATCACTGATTCCCGATAGCCTGAGCCTGACCCCTCTGGATCCCCAACTACCGCCCGACCTGATTGCCTGAATAACTGAAGATCAAGGGACTGACTGTCTGCTGAGGAATCACTACTAGCACTTTAGTATGTTATGATATATATGGTTTTAGAATTTTTGTTTAATGGATTTTATAACTTATATTTATATTGTATTGTTTTATATTGTTGTGAGCCGCCCTGAGCCAGCTTTGCCAGGAGGGCGGGGTAAATGTCTACTAAAATAAACATAAATAAATAAATAAATTGTGGATGCGTTTAGATAAGTGATCTCTCAGCCATCAAGCTTAAAAGTCCAGCCTGTTTGTTTGTGTGGGGTGCTTAGCAGTAAAGCCATCTGCTTTGTGTGCAGAAGGTCCTTGGTTCAATTTAATGTGCATTTGGTAGACAATATGATTTATATGACCTTGATCCAGTATAGGGCCATTTCATGGCTGCCTTGGTGGCCCTCGTAAGGGCAGAAAGGCGGGAAATAAATGTTGTAAATGAATAAAAATAAATGTATTGATAAGACTTTGTGAGTTTTAGCCATATTAGGCTTTACACTCAACTGTTTGTATGTTGCAGAGAATGAGAAGAATATTGTAGAACGAAATGTTTCTACCTCAGGGGTCAGTATCTACTTTGAGGCCTATCTCTATAATGCTAGTAGCGATGCCAACACACAGTGGCACCTTCCACCCCTCCACTTGGGTGCTTCTCAGCGCCGCCCTTCCACCGCTACTGAAGATGAGGATGAGGACTCTCCGTCTGATAGCCAGACCCCTGAGAAAGTGAAGAAACCCAAAAAAGTGTATTGCTATGTTTCACCCAAGGTAAGAATATATCTGAGGAAGCAGCAACAGTTTTCTGCACAGCTCCTACTATTGTCATTGTGTATGGCTACTGTTAACGAATCAAAAATCATTTCAGTCTGATTGCTGACTACTGCTTTGTGGGAAATCATCCGTAGTGCTGTAAAACCCCTTGGGAATTTTTTCAAGATGCTAAAATTTAAACTGTCCATACCTTCCTTGTATCTAACCATATACTTGAACTGGGGCTGAGTGTGGTAGTTACAGTTTAGACAGTCGCTGCCATGTTGGTCCAAAAGGTTAAGAGAACATGAGAAGTAAAGTGTCTTCTGTTGCACTAAATTATTTGCCGTTCACAAACCTGCAATGTGTATTTTTGTGTTAATTGGGGAACGAATGCCATAAGAACATTATAAATAAAACACTAGTCTTTTGATTGCTGCAAAAAAAATACAATCGTGAGCAATTGGTAGGATTTGGTATCATGCCTACTAGAAAAGAATTGAAAGCTAAAGTGTGAGATGTTGCTGAGGTGTCAAAAGTTCACGAAGTTTGCAAGGGCAGGCAGAGCACTTTGGAAAAATACTAACCCAGGGCATACAGGCAAAGAGTTTCATGCAACTCAGGTTTCTTGGGGTGGGGGAGCTTCCACCCTAACTGCCTAATCATTGCAGAGCGGGCACTGCTGTTGTATACTATACAAAAGGTCCCCCCCCCCAATCTTTTCCTTTCTTTTCATAGCTTAATGGAAGGGAGATACAAACATTGTGAAGAGTTGATGCAGCCCAGACCTGTGAAAATCATTTTCGTCTGTTACAAAAGGTTTTCTCTTTGGGCTTGCCCGTTTTTGAACTTTTTTGTAGTACTGCATTCATGATACCATGAATGGCTTTCTTTGCCTTCACAGCAATTCTCCGTAAAGGAATTCTACTTGAAGATCATTCCGTGGCGCCTCTTTACCTTCAGAGTGTGCCCCGGAACCAAGGTGAGTTTTTGAAATTCCCAGGTGCTGAGTGGAGGGTTTTGATGTCTGTTTTGAAGAAGGGGCTTTGGGGAGAATGCACTGTTCCCATTTATCAACCAGAATCACAGACATTTGAAATGGGTTGTCACATTTGCATAAAGCTTGGGAGCCTGCTGTGGTTTCCATTTATACTGCATTCTGCTCCCGGTCATAATTTTCATTTTCTGTCTTTATAATTTTCTCTCCTGTCCCCATGAACATCTAGCTCTGGTCCCTCTTGCACTGAGCCTTGTTGCTTGTATCAACTCTGCTTCATGCAGGACACCTTAGCTGGATGCTTGACAGTAGCTTTGGTTCTGAGTGGAAGGAAGGGCAAGGGAATATGCACAGAGGGCGATCTTACTATATCTAATCCATGTGCTGTGCTCTTCTGGTGAATGATGGTTTCACCCCTTTCCTGCATCTCTTTGCTGCTAGTTTTCTTACCATGGGCCTGATCCTGTGCACAAGCTGCTGACACTGGTGGTGGATGATGGGATACAGCCCCCCGTGGAGCTCAGTTGCAAGGAGAGGAACATCCTGGCAGCCACTTTCATTCGCTCTCTACATAAAAATATAGGTAAAGAGAGTAAGGGGTATAAACTTCTAAGTCTGGGGGTTCCCAACCTTTTCTAGCCAGCGTGCACCTTTCAAGTTCCGACACAGGGTGGTGGGCACAACCACATAATTGGTGCTGCAGGAGGCCGAGGGAACCACAAAATACCAGGGAGTGAAGTTTTGCATAACTCTTTAACATTTCAGGCAGATCCTTTGTTTAACAGGATGCCTTTTTAAATGAACATATTGTTTTAAAGTATTTTCTTGCATATACACAACTTATCAAAAGCCCTGCTGGGCAAAAGCCCCACCCACTTTTTAGAACTCTTGGCTGGCACCAGGAAAGGTGTCTGTGGGCACCATGGTTTCCAAGGGCATCACGTTGGGAGATCCCTGGCTTAGTCTCTAATGCATCCTAGCTGGCATAAAATAATGACACAGCTTCTAGCAAGGTTTTTTTAAAGCTTGGTATAGACTGCAAGCAGTCTCCTTGGGGACTGCATCACTTTTGTGTTTTACACAGTGTCTAACACAGTCTTGTTACTGAAATGGTAGTTTAGCTTAATTTAGGACTGTTCAAGTGACTAGAGAGCCCCAAGCCATCTCCCTCAGCTTTCCAGTTCATTTGTTTCATTGGTATTCTTTTGAAGGATTTGGCACAATTGCAACAAATCTGTACATAGTGTTTATATTATCCATTCTCTCCTTTTTTAATGTCTGACTTCCTTTTGTGGTCTTGGGATGGGAGAGGGTGAATAGAGCTTTTGAATGTGGAGCCACTGCATATGTGTGAGAAGGCGCTGGGATGCGTGCAAGAATATAAGTGTGGGGAAAGGGAGAGAGTAGTGAGGCAAGCAAGTTCGAGTGGGTGGAGAGGGGATGGGCATTATGAAATAATGCTTACATTTTTAGTACATTTAGCCCTCTCTTGTTTTCTCAGAACCTTTGTTATTGAGGTTGTGAGCCTTTTGGGGACGGTTTGATAAAATTGTTGTGATCTGGGAGCTTGTGGAATTGACTAGCTGTAAACATAAGCCTGAGAAGAAGCACAAATGCTGTGTTACGGGTCTCCATAGCAGACCACAATCTTCAGCAACAAAAGACTGGTAATACAGTCTTGATGCTAGTGTTTTTTTGCTAATCGAGATATGACCATAGGATTTATTGGTTTCAGGAGGTTCAGAGACTTTTCAGGACAAAGTAAACTTTTTCCAGAGGGAGCTGCGTCAGGTGCACATGAAGAGACCCCACTCCAAGGTTACTCTTAAAGTCAGCCGTCACAATCTTCTGGAATCGGTGAGCATATTTCTAATGCAAACTCTTTAAGGGTGGTGTGTTTCTCTCTTAGAGAGGCCTATGTAGACTGTTCCTCTTCCAGAGGGCATGCATGTTCTTCTGATGGGCAAGAGTACCATGGGACCTGGGTAGTATTTCTCACTTGTGTATAATATGAGACTTTGTTCTTTTCTCTAAGATCTGTAGCATTAGCCATGACTAAAGAATTCTATGTTGTCAGCCATTTCTAATGGTGCAGAAATTAGATTGGAACTTGGCCTGTATTGTAGAAAGGGCCCCAGTTGCTCTTTGTGTAAATGCCGGTATTGCTGCCACCAAATAGTCTCCATAAACTGATGGGAGTCTGAACTGTCAGTGATGAACCAAGAGAGAGTGCTTAGGATCTGTATGAAAACAATGAGTCAGTGTGTGGCAACTTTGAAAAAGGCAAAATCTGCTTTATGGATATTAGGAAAGGAACTGAGAATAAAACTGCCATCATAATGCCTAAAAGTGTGTGTGTGTGTGTTCCAACTGTATTTGGAATGGGTACAGTTCTAGTTGAAAGATGCTGTAGAGCTGGAAGAGGACAACCAAGTGGTCAGCAGTTTCAGCCTTCCATGTAAGGAAGAACTACAGCATTTGTGGGTCTTCAGTTCAGAACTAAAACTGTATGTGGTTGCAGTTTATAAAATCATGCATGGTGTGAAGAAATTTAATGCTGATTTCTTTTCTGCTTCCTCTCATAATACAAAAACTTGATCACCTATTGAAATTGAACAATAGATTCTGGACAAAGGAAGTAAAGAACTTTGTCACAAGATGCATCATAGTGTATGGAATTTGCTGCCACAATATATGGGTCTGGGTTATGCCAATAAAGGTTATTGGAAATTGGAATTGAATATGGGTCTGGATCATAAGTCTTGCTTCCACTTATGATATGACCATTTATGTTATGGAATAGTCCTATTTTGGAACGAAGTGTAACTGGGTGTGCAAAAAAAATTGAGTTTTTTTTCCAGTTCAGGTCTATTGAACCTGAAAAATATCAGTGTTCCTGAATATTCCTAAATACCAGTATCGGTATTTCACTGGTATTCAGGTAAATGTTTGGGAAACTTGAATTTATTCGGCTCCATTATACCCCGTGGGGACAGTCCCCATAGGGTATTTGTGCCGCAGCATGACTCGGCAAGTGAAGGGAAGTGATTCAAAGTTTAAATGCCTTTCCTTCCCTCCCAGATTGGCTCTGTGAGGGATGGGAAATGATTTAAAGTCTAAATACCTTTCCTTACCTCCTGGTCGTGCTGCCACTGTGGTGCGACTATGGGAGGGAAAGGAAAGCATTTAAACTTTAAATAATTTACTTTCATTCGTATTCATTCAGTATTTATTCAGCTCGGTATATACCAAGCATGCACCCCTACCTAAGTGCTTCCACTCATGCAAGAGCAGTGTCTTTCAGTGAGTTGAAACGTACCTAATGCCAGAACAGTATGCTCCATAGTAGGAGGTTGTGCCCACAATGGATGGAGTGCAGTGGAAGCAAGGCTTAGGATACAAGGTATAGTAGTGGTCACTAGCTTAGCTGGCTTTAACAGGAAATTAAATACATTCATGGAGGTTAGTTTATACCCAGAATTAAACTTTATTGGTCTTAAAGGTGCCACTGGACTCAAACCTTGTTCTGTTGCTTCAGACCAGCACAGCTACCCACCGGAATCAGTTCAGTTGAGAGACTCTGCCACTGAATGCCTGTTGCTGCGGCCTGTGATGAAGGACTGTTGCCAGTTATTCTGCTATCTGGATAATACAGTAGTAAATGGGGTGCTGGATTTGCTGGACACCCTGCCTTTGATGGCACACCATTAGTGCCAGCTCAGAAGGTGTGGAGCTTAGGGGTGATCCTGAATGCCTCACTTTCAATGGAGGCCCAGGTCACCACAGTTGCCAGGTCTGCGTTCTATCATCTTTGGCAGATCAGGCAACTGGTTCCCTATCTCTCCCCCCAGGACTTGGCTACAGCGACTCATGCAATGGTCACCTCCAGGCCTGATTATTCCAGGCTTTTTCTGCCCTGCCCCCAGCCTGGTTGAACACGCTCCCGCTGGAGTTCAGGGCCCTGCAGGACCTATTACAGTTCCACAGGGCTTGTAAAACAGAGCTGTTCCGCCAGGCCTTTGGGTGAGGCAGTGGGCATCCAATTATTCCATCTACTGGCCTCCCTTGCTGAAGCTTCCATCTTTATACCTTTGTAGACTGGGTTTGGAACACTTTCCCTATGAGGAAAGGTTAAGGCGCTTAGGGCTCTTTAGCTTGGAGAAACGACGACTGAGGGGTGACATGATTGAGGTTTATACGATTATGCATGGGAAAGAGCAGGTAGAGAAAGAGGTACTTTTCTCCCTTTCTCACAATACAAGAACTCGTGGGCACTCCATGAAATTGCTGAGCGGTCGGGTTAGAACGGATAAGAGGAAGTACTTCTTCACCCAAAGAGTGATTAACACTTGGAATTCACTGCCACAGGAAGTGGTGGCGGCTACAAGCATGGACGGCTTCAAAAGGGAATTAGATAAGCATATGGAGCAGAGGTCCATCAGTGGCTATTAGCCACAAGGTATAGATAGGGACTCTGGGGCAAGTGATGCTCTGTCATCTTGGTGCTTGGGGGGGTCAACAGTGGGAGGGCGTCTAATGTCCTGGCCCCACTGGTGGACCTCCTGATGGCACTGGTATTTCTGGCCACTGTGTGATACAGAGTGTTGGACTGGATGGGCCTTTGGCCGGATCCAACATTGGCATCTCTTATGTTCTTATGTTCTTATATGGCCCATCAGGTGAAGACCCTCTGGTTTATGGCCTAGCAGCTCCAGTTTTCGAGATTATTGTACTGAATTGCAGTGCTATCTGTCCTTAGCTTATAGTTTTTGATTTTAAGTGTTTTAACTATTTATTGTGAAATGTTTTAACTCCTATTATGGATTTGTTGTTGTGATCCACTCTGAGCCCGCTCACAGGGAAGGCAGAATACAAGGTGAAATAAATAAATAAGTAAAATTTTAGTCTTATATATTCCCAAATTCTTGTACATAATTTTATGTCCAGATTGTACTTCCAGCAGTAGTTGAGGAGGGGCAGGGGATCTACTCCTCAGGGCCACCTAGAGTTAGGGTTATTCGTATTGTATCTTGACAATTGCATAGTCCTAGGGGAATTGACTGTTGTGTGTCCATACAGTTCTTGTCACCTTTAACAGCTATGTGTGATATGCAAGAACAATGAACTCTGGCTCAAGTAATGATGCTACAGTGTTGAGTTAGTAGCTTCATGTAGGTCCAAATAGATATGTTATTTATTGCTTGTGACTCAGTGTAAAAACTGTTCTTCTTTTCAAAAGGCATTTTGCCATTGAATCCCAGCTGCTTTGTTACGCATACTAAGAAAATAATTAGTTCTAGCTCTGCTGGTGACAGATCTGATCAAGGGAATTAAACTTCATTTGAGAAAAATGGAAATACTTGATGTGAAACGTTATAGTTATTGTGAATGTTACCAGAGAGGAGGCTTTGCTTAGTGGTCAGAAAAAGGCTTAAAATCATTTGAATGTCTAAGTGTGAGCTAAGAGTTACCAGAGAGAATTCATAGTTTGTTTTTCCTGTGAGTCTAACTAGGACTGGAAATCTATTCCTAGGTATTTCTAGACACTTCCAAGATCTTATTTAAAGTAAACTTAGGTCCCTGCCACATGGCAGGGAAAACACCGGCCAAAGTGCGGCTAATTAGAGCCGCACCAAAATAGAGATGCCGCGACGGGATCCCACGGATGCCCTGAGCCGTGGCGCCGTTGCTTCCCGGCACGATCAGATGCCGGGGAGGAAGACACGGTCGGGAGGGGGAGGCTGCCGAACTGCGCATGTGTGAGCATGCGCAGTTCGGACAGGAGCCAGGGATGCGCCGGCGGATGGACGCGCCGGCGATCCCATGGCCGGCCTTGATGCGGACTTCCCGGATGAACCACCTCGGTAGGTGGTTCATTTTTGCTGCGGGGTTTTCGGCGGAAGGGCCGGATCGGGAACGGGCGCGCAACACTTCCCAGATGCTGCGGTGGGATCGCGCCCGTTTGCTGCGGCCCCGATCCGGCCCTCTCCCGGCTCAAAACCTCTCGTGTGACCGGGGCTTTAGTCTTGTGGGATCAGTGCTTTAGAAAGGTTAGCTGGAATCACTAGAAGAATGAATCATGAAACAATTGATTTTCTGAGCGTTTAGGAAAGTAGGCTGCTAAATAATGAGCATGATAAATCTTTCAAGAACCCAGTTGTGTCAAACCAACTTCTACCAAACCAGTAATAATTGCCCTTCCCCCTAGCCCCACTTTGCACTCTTATGGTGGCAGTGACAGGCGTGCAAGGACTGACACGGTTCTCCTGCTTCTCCCCTAGTGCCTCTCTAAATCTGTCAGCATTTGTACTGGGATTTTTGCTTATGTTGTGCATACCCAGCAGAACAGGAGCATGAACTCAAAACCCTGTACAACCATACACGTAATGTATTGAATCAGCTTTTATATGTGAGATTTGGATGAAAACCAGAAGAGTGCAGTTTTCAAGTTTGCAAAGAGCTAAAAAGGGTTTGTAAAGTAGTTTTAGGCTGCGATCACACACACTAAATAATTGACTTTCAATCTACTTTCAGTGCACTTTCAAGCTGGATTTTGCCAGTTCACACAGTAAAAATCCAGTTGTAAAGTACATTGAAAGTGGATTGAAAGTGGATTATTGAGTGTGTGTGATCATAGCCTCAGAATTCAGAGATAAACTAGAATTTTTTTAAAGCATAGTTAAGCTCTATATGTGTCTTGCACATAAATAAAGAAATTGAATGCAAAATTGGCTGATGAATTGGGAAGCAGAAATAGTTCTGAGAATAACAGGGGAATTGTATCTGAATACAGGGAAGGTTTTATAAAATAACAATAACTAGTATTTTAAGCCAGATCCGTTTTAGCATTTTTATCCTGCACTTCTTCCAAGGAGCTCAAAAGCTCATCCCTGTAACAACCTGTGCAGTAGATTATGCTGAGAGTGATTGACCCAAAATCATCCAGTGAATTATGTGGCAGAATGGATCCATGGAGGAGAAGTGGGAAATATCAATCCACTGCAAAATAGTGATGTTCTCTATAGTTCAGTGAGAGTTTACCTGGCTGAAGGCTGTAGAATTAATATTGGACTCTTATTTTTAATAAGTTCTCATATCAACCTCTTGATTTGCAAATAGAAGTCATCATCACTATTAACATGTTTCCCTTCATATTCCTAGTCTCTGAAAGCAACACGGAATTTTTCTGTTTCGGACTGGAGCAAGAACTTTGAAGTTATTTTCCAGGATGAAGAAGGTGAGTCCATTTGTCCACTGCAAGAGCCAGTGCACCTAGGAAAAATGAGGAGAGGATAAGAGGAGTGTTTGGCTTTGTATTGTTCTACTTATGATAAACAATTTTGACGGCTTCCATAATATCTTGCAAATCCAATATAAAATAATTCTCATTTTATCGATCAAAATATTGGGTGCAGATTACATGGGTGATTTAAGAGAAGACAGTAGATATGTAGAAAAGCCAAAAGCTCTTCAAGTTTTTTGAGTCCTGTTATAGTTTTAATTCATGAGGCATCTTCTCAGTATATTGCATGATTTTAGAAAATGGCTTACAATTATAAACACTAATGTACAAAATAAAAAAAGAATTGCTAGATTTCTCCCACCAGTTATTAAAGGATCGTGTTTCATAAGCACTATACATTATAGTCGTACTCTGTGAAGATAGATGGATCTCTTTTCTTGCGAACTGATTTCTGGAAGGCACAGGGCTGCTACAAGATCTAATTGGTCTTGAACCTGTTCTGTTTTGTAGCCTTGGATTGGGGAGGCCCTCGCAGAGAGTGGTTTGAATTGATCTGCAAAGCTTTATTTGACACCATCAATCAACTTTTCACCCGCTTCAGTGACAACAACCAAGCACTGGTGAGTGTCTTTCATCCATTGGTGAAAAAGGAAGGGGTATGTCTGCTTGTGACTTCCATTCAGACACTTCTGGTTGAACATTCATACTGTTCTCCAACTTCTTGCAGTGGCAGAGAACCTACTGGGTTACACATACCAGCAGACAATTTTAAATTACAGGAGAAATTGGTGTGAGTTTATAGTAAAAAATGCTAGTGGGTGGTGAGCAGTTTTTACAAATTGTAGGAAATTCACATGCAGTCTTTTCATGCCAACTCTTATATAATGTGTTTCCATTTATGTGCTTATACGTATAGTGCCTCTGTGCACTGCACTGAGATTAGATTACATGTCCTTTTGCATAGTGCCAGACTAGAAAATGGTCCCTCCAGTTTTTACAGATCTTTGTACTTGAGTTTCAGCTCACAAGCAAGGTTGCAAAGATGAGAAGGCGTTTGACTACAATGTACAAGCAGAAGAGCTCTGGGTGCTTTCCCAGTTGCTGTATTTAACCAAGAAATGACAGTCGTAACTATGGGCTCTGTTGTTTATAGGTGCACCCCAACCCTAATAGGCCTCCTCATTTGCGGCTGAAAGTGTACGAATTTGCGGGGCGCTTGGTTGGAAAGTGTCTCTATGAGTCATCTTTGGGAGGGGCTTACAAGCAACTGGTGAGAGCACGTTTCACCCGCTCTTTCTTGGCCCAGATTATAGGACTGCGGATGCATTATAAGGTGACATCATTTTTTATATTTGCATTGCTTTAGAGTATGGAACAGTGACCAAATCATGGTTCCATGGCAAATGTTTCAATTTCTTTTGTCTCTTCCCTCCCATGCTCCTTTTACTCTTAGTATTTTGAGACAGATGACCCAGAGTTTTATAAATCGAAAGTTTGCTTTATCTTGAACAATGATGTGAGTGAGATGGAGCTAGTCTTCGCTGAGGAAAAATACAGCAAATTGGGCCAACTTGAGAAGGTGAGAGGCACTGGTTGAGAGTACAGTTTGGGCAAAGTGAGCAAGTAACAATGCTTAAATAGGAGGGAAGAGATATATTTAGGATTTATTATTGTTTGGATTTATGAAGTTAATAGTTTGTCTTTGTTTCAGGTGGTTGAGCTGGTAACTGGAGGTGCTCAAGTACCAGTAACCAATGAAAACAAAATTCTTTACTTGAATCTGCTTGCACAGTACAGATTAGCCAATCAGGTTAGAGAGGAAGTGGATCACTTCTTGAAAGGTAATGTGCTATATGGTGCCCTTTCCTGATGCATATAGTCCTTATTTTCTAAATAAATATGCATTCTACTGTCCTCTTTCAGGTCTCAATGAGCTGGTTCCTGAAAACCTTCTAGCTATTTTTGATGAAAATGAACTTGAGGTAAGATTGAGTAGAGCTGACTTTGAGACTGCCATTTTTTTCTTTCTGTCTCTCAGATAAATGTGAAGGAGTTTGCATTAGGAGCTGTGAGTAATTCCCAACCTTGAATACTCTACATCTGTATAAAATGCACAACTTTAAATATACATATGAAGCCACCTTAATACTGAATCAGACCATTGGTCCATCAAGGTCTACTCAGACTGGCAGTGGCTCTCCAAGATCTGAAGTAGTAGAGGTCTTTACCTCTTACTTGATCCTTTTAACTGGAGATGCCAGGGATTGAGCCTTGGAACATATGCATGGCAAGCAGATGCTCTGCCACTGAGCTACAGCCCCCACCCCAACTTTAATCATAGTTGCTTACAGGGCTGTCCATATAAATCTTCTTCACCCATAATATTGTAGACTCAGAAGGATCTACCTATCAGCCAGTAGTACATTATCTTCCATTCCATTGCTGTCACTGCTGCAAGGTTCCTTCCTAAACCCCATTAACTGTGAAGTTTCAGCTCCAACAGCACTGCCTTATGTGGGCTGTGTCTCGGTGTTCAAGTACATGCAGAAGGCCCCAAGTTCAGTGTTCAGCATCTCCATGCAAAAGGATCTCAGGTAGCAAGTGTTGGGGAAGACTTTTCTCTGCCTCACACCCTGAAGAACTGCTGCCAGTCAGAGGACACAATACTGACACAGATGTACGAATGGTCTGACTCAGACAGCTTCACATAGTCACAGTGTTTCTTTGGTACAGACTGGCACCGAGAGACAACTGTCCTTTGCCGGCAGCTGGAGCCAGGGGCATTTTAGCCTATATGCCTCTTGCTTGTGAGTCCTATAATGTTGAGAAGGTACCTTAGACAATGGGTTCCATCCAAAGGGCTGCAAGCAGAGCTCCACTTGCAGAATAGAACTCGCTCTTCCCCTGGCAGCCCACTGCTGCCATTGAAATGTTACCAGGATTTGGAGACCCTTGGGAATGGTGCTGGTATGATGTGAGGATCTTTAGTTGGAAGAAATCCACACCCACCCACCCAATGGAAATGCCTTTCCTCCAGTAGAAAATGAGCATTGGATCCAACCCATAATGTTTTGGATTGCCTTTTGTCCAAGCCAATTATTGTTGTTTTTAACCATTAGCTTGCATACTGTGTATGTTCTGGAGGTCTGTTTGAGTTTCCAGGTCCCTCACATTGCTTTAAAGTGAGCAGTTATTTATAAGTTTTTCTGCTGTCTTGGCCTTATAAATAAGAGTTTCTTGGCTATAACGCTGAACGGTTATGCAGTGGTTTGGCCAAATATATAATGTAGCTACCGTTGGCTTATGCAGTGTCTGTGCAATGGGACTTTGTACAGCTATCAGCTAAGCCACCAGGACAATAGCAGCTATTTTGAAATTACCTTTGTGGTTTTTAAGAGTTTATGGTCCTCTGAATTTCCATCCTTTATTTTGTGCTCCTATAACTGTTCCTTCTCCCTTTCTTTTCCTTTCAGTTTTGACAACAGTACCTTTCATTCTTCTTAACTTAAATGAACTCCTCTTTCTGCAGAGTACTAATGGCCCTAACTCAGTATTTTAGCAACTGATGTACTTGCCAGTCTATATTTGGATGATTGGTTTGAGGGGGGGAAACTGGAGCCTAACTCTTCTTAACCTTTGTTTTCTTCAGTTGCTGATGTGTGGTACCGGAGACATCAGTGTCTGTGATTTCAAAGCACATGCTGTGGTGGTGGGTGGTTCCTGGCACTTCCGAGAAAAGGTAAGTAGGGTAGGCCATAACCACAATGGATTGATTGTTCTCTGCTTGTGATTGAGGCAGCAAATGTCTGTCGTCAAGGAGGTGAAGCTTTCTGGATTTAAAAAAACAAGTACTGGAGAAAAGATGGATGAATGGAAAAGCAAAGATTGGATAATAAACCTGTAGACTAAGTGCATCTTTTCTGACACTCTCACAACATTTTCATTTGTTTATTATCCAGTCTTTTGTCCCTTAATGTCTCTGGAATGCTCTTTGCACATTTGCTTTATAGATATGTGTTGCACTGTGCTGTAGTGGTTGGTGCTTGACTAGGATCTGGGAGACCAAGGTTTGAATACCGACTCTGCCATGGAAGTTTGCTGGGTGACCTGGGGCCAGTCACATACTCTTCAGACTCACCTACTTTACAGGGTTGTTGTGAGGATAAAATTGGAGGCGAAGAGAACTATCTAAGCTGCTTTAGGTCCCTATAGAAGAGAAAGGGTATAATGAAGTAAAGAAATGAAAGTAAATGAAAAATATTACTTAGACCAGGTTTAAATAATTTACAAGGAAACAAACTCCCTTAAGTCAATCTAGGTACTAAATGAGGAGTAAAGCCATCTGCATGCGCCTATGGTTTTATTAAAGAAAGGGATTCCCATAATTGTGCAGGATTGTATCTTCCCCAACACCCAAAAGAATTATCAGCTGTAATTATTATTTTAATGTTTATTCACGGTTTTTATTGTGTATTTTATTGCTTTAGCTGCTCTGGGGGGGAAACATGTCTACAAATGTTTTAAGTAGATAAAACCCATTTTAAAAACAATACAGGAATGTAAATTCTGGCCTGGGCGATACGTTTTCTGACTTGTCCTTATAACTGGGTAAGTCGCGGCTTCTTTATAGTGCTTATTTTGCAGTAGTTTAACAGGTTTCTTCTCCCTGTGGTCTGCAGTTGCCTTTGTTTCCTTATTTTCATATTGTGTCTTCTAGGTTATGCGGTGGTTTTGGACTGTGGTCTCCAGTTTCACACAGGAGGAACTGGCCAGGCTGTTGCAGTTCACTACTGGCTCTTCTCAGCTGCCTCCTGGAGGATTTGCTGCACTCTGCCCCTCTTTCCAGATCATCGCAGCTCCGACGCACAGTACACTGCCAACTGCCCATACTTGGTGAGTTACTTGCTGGGGCGGTCAGACACTGAGAGCAAGCATTTCTCGGTTGTCTGTAATTAGCTGCGTATTGACAGTGTGCAGTCCCCCTTCCTATTGCAGTTAATACTACTTTGAGATCCATTTAAGGCCATATATCTGCTCATGTGTACCAGTGCAGTAGATTCTCTTTAGAAATGATTGGAAGTGTGCAAGCGTTATTTACTAGTACGTGTTTTTTTCTTTCAGTTTTAACCAGCTGTGCCTCCCCACTTACGATTCCTATGAAGAGGTACACAAGATGTTGCAGCTGGCCATCAGCGAGGGCTGTGAGGGCTTCGGCATGCTCTGATTCCCCCAGGGAGGAACCCATCTAGCTTCCTTGTTTTTCAGGGCAAAGCCCAGCCCCACTTCACTACTCATTCTGATGCCCCATCTTAGGGGTAGTGGAGGCAGGGCAGCAGCACCATGCAAACAGGAATGTCAATCTGCAAATGTCACATGGAGGCCTTCCCACATCTGGAGTATGTTATTAGGAGCTCATCTTTCCCCCCTTCACTCTCTGTTCAGTTTGGTATGTGAATTGAAGTGGGGTGCATCTGTTGAGATGCGGTGTCTACCTCTACCACACGGTAGCAAGAGTTTATTTCATTAGCATACTTCACACAGAGTATGTAACAGGCACTGGTACCTATGCCCACTTTTCTTTCCAGTTCTTCTGTGTTCTGTGTCCCAAGCATTCCATTTGTTTTTATGGGGATTAAATTGGAGCTGTCCATAATAACAGGCACTTAAGGAGGTGGGCCCACAGGACAACATGTTGCACTACCCACTCTCCAGGCTATTTGGGAGACAGTGGGAGCAGCCATGTATAACTGATCAGTGTCTGACTAATTCTGACTGCATCCTCTCCACTACTCCTATTTCCTTGGCAATAAAGGAGTGGGAATTCAGGGACCCTTGTTGGCAGTTTTCATCAGCTAAGACAGAATCTGAGTGGATTGTGAAGTCTATACTCTGTTGGCACCTAAAGTGCATTTCTTGTGGTCAGAGATGGTGGCAGGTTATTTGGTGAGGGGAGCCAACAACTGTGACTGCCTGGACTGAGGAATTTCCCCCCCAAGGCTGGAATCTCCATTTGGTGTCTCATAAAAGCAAACACTTTAAAAATAATTTACAGTGGTGCCAGTTTTTCCAGTTCAACCATTCTACTATAGGTTATGGTTACAGCTTTTTTAGATGACAAATTTACATCTTTTTAAAAAAAAGATAGGTGTGCATATTTTAAAAATGTGAAATAACATTAATTTAAAAGGGGACAACGCAGGCTTTCATTTTTTTCTTTAGGTGAATGCATATTGCATCTGCACAGAAGTACAAGCCATCACTCTGCCAAAAAATTGTTAGTACTCATGAGTACTGGGGACAGCTCAGGGAGTCTTTTCCCTTTGGGGGCTTGTTTAGAGACCACCACTGTATTTTCCTTCATGGCAGATATTTTTCTTCAAGCAGTAGCTCTTCTTGAAAGCAAATTACTTGTGTTACAAGAACATCTTTATGCCATCATATTGCATTAAAGGTGACTTCTATCAAAAGAGTGCAGTTGAGGTTCCTAAATGACTTATGACACCCACCCACTGCTCTCCCTGGGGACCAAGAGGGGATGATGCTGCAGTGAATGGCTGGGAAGGAGAGCTGCTTGTTACTGATCTGGTCTTTTGTCTTGTTCCCTAACCTGTTGAAGATTTTTTCCAGCCGTGGCTTGAAGTTGGTTCTGCTACATCTTCCTCAGGAATCCTCTCCTTTTTTATACTAAGGACTGAGTGGCTGGTAATTCAGCAGGTATCCTCTGCTTGAAACCACTCTCCTATAATAACATGTATTTGGCACTTGTTGCCTTTCTGCAGCTGTACAGATGCCAAGGACTTTCTTTACACACAAGCACAGTCAGAACAGTGGGGGATGCAGCTAAGTCCTAGCTAATAATGTGCTTCTGCATGGATTCACTTATACCCATTGTTAGCAGGTCCCCATTGCTCCAGGGCTTCATAACTTCAGTGCAGAGGATCTGATTTTGCTTCTCGTTCTTTCCTACCCATGTATGTTGCCCGGATTCCAGTGTGGGGACATGGTACAGGCTGTGCTGTAGCCATTGATTGTGTGTGTGTTTGTATGAGTTTTGAAGAAATACCTTTTTCATTGGTCTTTGTTTGTTCCATCTAATGTAAGTGTGTCAGTTTCCAGGGTAGAGGGTAACCTCATGATACTGTCTGGAGTAGGTCTCTTTGTGCTGGACTTGCAATGGATACCACAGGGCTTTGGTCTTGCCCTGCCTCTGACAACTATCTTGCATGTTTTAGTAACCAATGCCTATTAATTTTAGTTAGGCCAGGGCCTGTTTTCAGCTAGGTAGCACCAGACTATATTTCAGTGAGATTCTGTAAGTCTCCAATAAATGTAAATAGTTTGTACAAAAAATAAAAATATTTAAAATACGGTGTGATTGTCGTATAATGAGAATTATTCTTGAATCGTTTTCCATGCTGGGCTGCTTTAAATAGCTGGTGTTATAATGACTGTTCCTCAGATTTCGAGAACTGGCACTTGACATTGTCTTGTGGCACAAACTATATGCTCAGATTAATTTTGAGATTTTACAAGGAGGTGACAGCCATGCTTCTGTGTTATAAGCCTACCCTTCCTGATTTCAAGCTGCTGGGTTTTGAGTTGCCCCCAGCACTAAATTGGGAATATTCCATTTGCCTGAGCTGCTTACTTAAGAACATAAGAGAAGCCAATGTTGGATCAGGCCAATGGCCCATCTGATCCAAAACTCTGTCACACAGTGGCCAAAAATACCAGGTGCCATCAGGAGGTCCAGCAGTGGGGCCAGGACACTAGAAGCCCTCCCATTGTTGCCCCCCCAGCACCAAGAATACAGTGCATCACCTGTCCCACCCTGTGAGTTCCTATCTATACCTTGTGGTTAATAGCCACTGATGGACCTCTGCTCCATATGTTTATTCAGTTCCTTCTTGAAGCTGTCCATGCTTGTAGCCGCCGCCACCTCCTGTGGCAGTGAATTCCATGTGTTAATCACTCTTTGGGTGAAGAAGTACTTCCTTTTATCTGTTCTAACCCCACCGCTCAGCAATTTCATGCAGTGCCCACAAGTTCTTGTATTGTGAGAAAGGGGAGAAAAGTACTTCTTTCTTGACCTGCTCTATCCCATGCATAATCTTATAAACCTTGATCATGTCACCCCTCAGCCGTCGTTTCTCCAAGCTAAAGAGCCCCAGGCGCTTTAACCTTTCTAAATAGGGAAAGTGTTCCAACACTTTTATCATTCTAGTTGCCCTTTTCTGCATTTTTTCCAAT